GACAATTAAATGTAAATATAAATGATTAAAATAGAATGACTACAGTAATTAATTAGATACCATCGGGAATTAAATTGATTTCTTAGTAGAAAAAATGTTAGTTAAATAATTACTAAATGAAATGTGTCCGGACAGCCTAGTTATTGGACACCTGCATAAAGCGCATCTAACTAAAGATACATCATATATAAAACATGCAACAGCATGGTCACAGGGCGAGAATACAAGACCAACCTCATTATCAAGACATACTTTACATGTATATCTCGATAAATCTGGTGAAGTCTTGATAGTGGATTCAAAGATCTGGAAGAAATTTATAAACTTTGCCTGGCTTAGGTACGATTATTACGTACAATTATCTATTTATCTTAATTATCTATAATTTATAGAAACGACGTTCGAGAAAGTGACGAACATCTAATGACCAATTCCTAATAATTAACTTTAACAAAAGACAACAGATGAAACAGGATGTTTAGTAAAAAAATTTAACACTTAAATTTTAGATCTTTTGTTTTTGACCTTTCTGCAACTAATCAATGAATGACATCTGGTCATATCTTTTCTTAAGAAACAGTTTTACACAAAAAAGATCATCTGAGAAAAGCTCACTTGTAATTTAGATTTAGACAAAACAAATCAAACAAATTTTATCAATCTTGAGCTAAACCGAACCGTCCTATTGAAATCAACATGAAAAAACAAAAATCAGGCCAAGTTTCATCATTTCTACAATTGTATATTTGAATATATTTAATAATCAATCTTTTATCTTCTCCAAAGAAAAAAAAGAGGATTTGCTCTCTTGGCGAAAAAAATTGCCAACATTTTGTCAGTTTTGAGATCGAAATCTATTGGAAATAACATTTTCAATCGCTATGAAATACAATCATTAGAACTTGTGTTAACTATCATTCTAAAGAGAAAGAGGGCCAAAAATCAACCAACAATGATTCCAAAAAAAAGTGAATTGTGTGACTATTCAAGGATAATTAGTGTTTCAAATAATTTTATTCACGAATTAACGGTTCCTCTCAGTGAAAAAATAAATAATATTAATAAATATTAATAAATCAACAATAATTTATGTCTTTTATAATTAATACTTTAATTGCCCCCGGTCTGGTGATTTTCGCGCACTTTTTGTCCCAGACTGGGCAGTTTTATTACTACTGACCTTGATCTTTCAATATAGCAATCGAAGATCGCTCAAACTCATATCACTCGAGCCTTGATTCTATTAGTTGCTGAGTTGAGAAAAAAGCAAAGAAAACTTCGGCGAAAATAGCTGAATAGTACAATGTATATTTGCGTAAACACTAAGTAATTCCTAAGAGGATAATGAATATATGCTCTGGTTCTGGTATTATTTTCATGATAATTCATTGAATTATGTGTATATTTAAGATGATAAAGTTGGCGGTTTATTTTCTTGATGAAAATCAAAGTATTTAATTGAAGGATTCAAGGTAAAAGTTTCACAGTTTATGGAGAGTGTACAATATTGAATACCCTCTGATTATTCATACACGTTTCCATGATCCTCAAGGCCCCTCAAGGTATTTCCTTATCCTCTTCCTGGTTCTCTTTGATTCTTATTTTTCATGAGAAAACGTTTCGAAAGCATTTCCCTGATCATCATCATTCTCAATCTAAATAAGAAAATGTTATTTTTTTTTCTTCACACAGAATCTTTATACTGATCATGATACAAACATCCTGAGGCCATTATTCAGAAAATTGTTATTATCATTCGCTCTCTATAGCTTGTGATTACATCTCAACAATCAACTGATTACATTCTGATGACAATAAGAGCTTCAGACTGTGTAATCTATTCAGAGGGTATTCAGAATGGGTGAGAATTTACTAAGATAAAGATAGATTCTCTCTCTCTCTCTCACACACTCCCAATATTCTGATATAAACGACATCTTAATCTGACAAAATCTTTGCAGTCAACTTGAAACTGTCAACAGAAGTTCCCATGAAAAGTTCAATTAGATGAAATTTATTATCATGAATGAATACCCTCCTTTTTTTATTGAGTCAATTTATTTTCCTTTTCTGTTGTTTTTTCTCAAGTAAAATTGGGAAAAAATAAACGAAAACCAGGAAAAAATTTACCTCCACGATTCTGGACTTTCTTTCAACCAATTCGAGGAAAACAGGAAAGTTCTGACTAAAATTTATTCAGAATATTCCAGTACAATGTCAATTCACTTACCCTGATCTTGAATACCTCTCATATCATTCAGACCTTTGTGTTACCAGAATCGTCAAGTGAAACAGTTTTATTATCATTTCATGAGAGGATTTTCATTTCTATCTCTTTGGCCTTACAAACTCAATCTGAATAAAAGAACTGAAATGAATTCATGTTGAAATAAATTTCCCATTATCCTTAACAATTCAATGGATTGATTTGGAATCAGAACTTTTTTTTATCTGTTACTTACTTTGTTCATTTCACTCATTCTACTAATAACTGGAACTTTTTTTCTTACTTCTTCCTGATAATCAATGGAGATGAAAATGAAAGTTCTAACTTGAACACCAAGTGAAACTCAGACAGATTCAGTCTCAATTCTCATAAGGGAAACAAACTTCAATTCTGAAAAGATAAAAAAATTATCAATTAAATAGTGATTCTATTCACAGAGTAAACTACAGTATTAGTTGCAGTCTAAATATCAGAAAATTTGTAAACAAAAATCATATCATGAAAATGAACTTTTTTTCAATCACAAAACATTGAATTGAGAATCAGGATAATCAATTAATGATTCAAGATGAATCTCAGAGTTTAAGATGATATTATTATTTTTCTCATCTCATGGTTAAAGAGATGAAAGTTCAACGAGTTTCCTGAGGATGGAAAAAGTTTTTTTCTCCTCACTTGTTCTGAATAAAGTTCTAGACACTTTCAAAGCTCTTTCAACTTATTGTTTGTTGGTTGACTGAGTTTCATGATGAATTTTATCATAAAATGACCGAGACAATAATGATTAAAGAAATTCATTGATTCGTTGAGAGTCTGAACAGAAGAAGAGTTTCAAATATGTGGTGATAGAAAAAAATAATCGTGGTGATGATAATGTTCATGATGAAGATGAAACAACTTAGCGTGAAATGTTTACTCTCTTTCCTGGTCTATTTGTAGCGAGAAAAAAATATTCTCATTTCCTTTTAGAACTTTTTTTCTTTTTTCCCTTCGAATTTGTAGATTCACATGGGGAAGGAGGAAAAGTGTTCCATCGTTTGAGTGAAAATCCATGATAAAGATGATAAGTTGACGAAGAGAATGTTGTTCATATCATAGATGCTGGAAAATTCATAAATCGTTAAAGTAATGATATCGAAATTAGAACTTTCTTTTTTGTCTTCTTCTTTTGGTTGGGTTGTTGATGAATTGGAATTAGAACTATTTTTTTTTCTTCTTACTTTTCATTCGATAATCAAATTCCAATGTAAATAATTGAATCGTATTAATGAATAGTGAAAATTTTTCCATGGAAAAATGTTGATTTATGGAAGATATTTTTCCTTATGAATATTATCATTGTTTCTCATCATTGAACCATGTAAATGATTATAATTCAGTTTCATATGTTGAGTAAATAATGTCAAATGATTATATTGAGGGTGGAGTAGGTTTGAATATAACAACAATATCATGGGATAAAAGGGAAAAAGAAAGAGAGGAGTAAAGTTCTGATAAAGATAATACTTCATGAGAATAAGAATTTGTAATAATATACTTTTAGTTTATTTTTTTTCTTCTTCTTCTCCTTCCTTGATATTCATCATGAAATATTCATCCTTATATCATGAAAGTGTATTGATGAAATAATATGAATGTATCCTGAGATGATATTCTGAGTATGCATGATGAAAATTGATAAAATTTGAGTAAATGTTGTTACCTATTAGAATGTCAATTTCTCAATAGTTTCTAATGTGAATGCGACAGGGAAACTTTTTTTATTATTCTCATGTTTTTATCTCATTTCATCAACAATTTAGTAACAATGGAAAACCAAATTTACCTGAGTAACTTTTGTATCTCTTATCTATCTACATGATTAATCATTTACCTGTAAAGAGAGAGAGAGAGAGAGATGAAGATAAATGAATACAAGTTTGAAATATTTCTCTTGGACGATTTTACCTACAATTTTATGAGTATTTCCCCAAAGAAGGTAAAAAGTTTTTTCTTTTACCTTGAAGGCATTTCCATAATTCAGATTTAATGAGATAACGATGACATGGTAACGAAGTATTTATTCACCAAGGGTATTCTCACAATTCACATCTGAATATCAACCATAAGTTTAAAAGATGTAACATATTTCCATCTTGAGAATTCTGATAAAAAAGAAAAAATTTCTTCTCAAATTCTCAACTATTATAATTTCCATGTATTATTATCACGTATTGAAACTTTTGTCATCATCATGAAGGAAATTCTGGTTTTCCTCCAATAAGATGAAATTAGCATTTCGATAATGATATTACATTTTAATAGTATAATTAATACAGAGAATTTAAAAATTCACTGAACAAGAAAAAAAAAATGTTAACTGTTAACAAGGCTCATTAGTTGATGATGATGATGAAAAATATGCTGAATATCATGAACACATCATCATGAAGCCGGTTGATAAACTTTAATCATTAACCGTAATCATTAGTAAAAGATTAGGGTAACATTTTACTTGGTAAAAAGTTGAAACTTTTTTTTTCTCACTCAACATTTTCATTGGATTCCCTTGGAAACCATTTGTATCATTTTTGTTCAGGGGATCATGATGATGATAATTAGATGAAACTAAAAATAATTGTGATGATAATATGATATCTACATGATGATACAAAGGGTGGGAAACAAAGATATCTAATTAATCATCATTGATGTTTAAATAAGTTTTGATTGATTTAAATTTAGACTCAAGGGAAATGATTAGTATGATTAGTTGGATTATGAGAGTTTATAATTAGTTGAATAAATTGTATCTCTTTTTTAATTTTTCTGTTTTTTTGTCCAACAAAAAGAGTCAACTTTTAACATAGAGGGAAAATATTATGTTGATTTTGATTAGTTGAATGTTAATTAGTTGTTAGGATTTTTTTTTCGTCGTCATCATTTATAGTTGTGTATTCATTAAAGGACTTGAATGATTTAGTTGATTATGACGATGATAAAACATTGATATTGGGCTAAGGGTTGAGATTGATGATGAGAAGGATGAAAATTGTAGCTTGATGATAGAGATGAGAGGAGGAAAATGATATTTGTGACAGAAAAGAGAGGAAAATATTATATTTTCTTGTTGGTTTTGTCTCTTGACTCAATCTCAGTGATCAATAAATTGTTGACTTGGTTGGAAACACAGGAAAAAGTGTATTAGTTAAGGTAAAAATGTCAATGGCATGAAGAGGTCCATTGGAGTTTAGTGTGACCTGAATGTTTAATATCAACTGAGGTAAATGTAAATTTATCCCAAGACTGACCAATAACTTTGAATGGTACAAGTGATTCTGGCGATGATCCGATTAATAATGATGTTGACTCTTTCCTTGACATTGGTGACCATTTAATGCCATCTCGAGTATAGATGAGTTTACCACCCACACCAAGTCCATCTTGACCTGAACCTTTAACGGGCGAAGATGAATCGATTGCGATAACACGTCCAGTTAATGTCTCATAGCCAACCAATGAGTGGACATATGAAGGTAATTTCGTCCAAGAGCCACCGCCATTTTTACTTCGGAAACACTCAGTGTAACTATTGTTATTATCATGATAGAAAAGAAATAAAAATTTTATAATTTCAAGAAAATTCAAGAGAAGGAAAAAAACCAAACTATTAGAATATAATAATAATAATATACATGTAAACATCCTCAACTTATTCGCATACCCTCTGAATGTTCAAGAAATCATACCCATGCATGTATTATAATATTTGATGAGAAAAATTTAAAATGCTGGATAAGTGAAATGTTAAATATGATAAATATTTTTGTAATAATCAGCAAATCTGATTGTGTTATGTTGGGCAATACTTGACATAAAATTATTAGTTATTAGTTATTATTATAATCAAAAACTGTCATAGGAAATGTTTACTGAAGCAAAAATGATAACTGATAACATTTTGATAACAATGAAAAGGTAATCAACATTATATCATCATGGTTTTCATGGTGCCAGGAAAAATATTACTTTGAAAAAGAGTTATTCAAGTTCAACAAATTTGCCTTTTGTTAACCTTCATCAAGTAATCAGATGAAATGATTATCATCATGAATGATGGAAAACCTCATGAACAGAAGCTGATGAGGGGATAGAAAAATGAAATTCATGTAATATTAATATTATCATGTTAATATCTCTCCACAATGATTACTTATTATCTGATTCATTCTGTATAATAAAACTTAATGATTACAATACAATCTAATATATCAAGGTGATGTTGAGGTGAGAAAATTTTCTTCACCTCACAAAATCAATTCAGTAAAAGATTTTTTTATCTATCGATATTTTCATGGGGTCATCATGATAAACCATTAATATGATTACATTATATTTATATATAAGAAAACTGATTGTTTGATAATCGTAACTATTCAAGGTTCTGGTTATTTTCATGATTAATTGTTAATCTTTAACAAGAGAATCATAATCAACAATATAGATACACACATAGATAATCATCTTAATCATCAATGGGATGAAAAAAAAGGCAAATATCTCATTTATCGTAAATGTGATTAACTTTCAATTGTTAATCATTTTGAATCACTATCAATGTTATATGATAATCAATAATATATTATTATCATTAGAATCCAGAGTATCATGAAATTAACATTAACTCATCTGATTGATAAAAGTTTCATCATGAGGAGGAAAAAAATAACAAAATTTCATATCCTGATATCATTTTGTCATTTACATGATGATGATATTGATAATGATGATAATTTTCAACCAGAAACATTATCATCTTGAGTCATCTACACATTATAATCATTCATGATCATATTATCACCAATTGTATAGATTTTCACTGAAATTCATGGTTATTAACATTCGCATATTACAATTCTGCAAATATTCACATGGAAATCTAAGTAAAATGTAATTGTATGTTCATTATATATTATTCATTACATTAAATTCATGTTATCATCATGATAATAGTTAATAATATGATAGTTGGAACATTTTTCCTTTACAATAAATGTGTTAATATTATCGTTGTTGTTGAAATTGAATAGTTGATTGAATTACTATTATTGAATAATCATGGGAGACAAAATTACTTTCATGCTAATCAAAAGTAAGGAAGAAGAAAAAAAAATAATACTAAAAGTTAACAACGATAATAATAAGATAGTTTTACTATTGAACATTGTTTGAATCATCTTGTTGATTAGTATTATTGAGATGATATTATTGATCATAATGGTCAGTGGGTTATAATGGTTACCTTAATGAAAATGTTATGTTGTGGTCAAGGTGATCAAGCCCTCATTTAATACTAAAGAAAATAAAACAAAAAATCAATTACAGATTCAGAATGAAAGTATTTTCATTCATCATGATGAAGTAACATTGAAAATGTATAATCAAGAGGATGAAGGATAAAGATGATGATGTTTAACCTAAATAACTGGACATAAGGAAGAGCCTTTTCCGGTCAATATTGACCATCAAAGTCAAAGTAAGAAAATAAGATGACCGAGTTTTCAGTTATGGGGATTAGTTTGTTTACCTCGACTTTTTGTCTTCTTCTTTGTCCTCATCTTCATCCTTAGCATCTTCATCTTCTTCCTCTTCATCACTCATCTTCATTGTTTTGTTGCCATTATTTGAATCATCTCACATTAATTATAATCATTTGATGAAATTGGGTAACGTGAATAAAATATTTTACTGGTTAGAAAATGGTAACAATCATTGTACTATATTATTAACTTTAATCATAATTTAGTTAATTACCATCATTACTATCACAAAGCAATCAATTTATCACTTTGTTAATCTTATTAACTAACTGATTAATAATAGCTTAATACCCTTGAGCTTAAAAGTTACTTTCAGGTTTCCTCATGAAAATCAAAATCAAGGATGAAACTTTTTGCTTTCTCTCTCTCTGATCACAATTAACTTTGTTAATCAGTTAGTTACTTAGTTAAACTAATCAGTTAATTGAATTTCTCAACGTTTACACTTTGTCGATCTCTTTTATATATTTATACTTAATTGTTAACTAATTCATTTGATTACTTTGCATGATTAAACATTCAATCAAAGATTGTAAAATAATTGCTACAAAATCAAAATGATTTATCATCAATAATGAACAATGTATTTGATTATAACGAGGGATCAGGATATTAATTGTAATCAGGCAAATGGTTACAATTAATATTTCGTTTGGTTTGTATTTTGATGATCGATTGAAAGTTGATTATATAAGCAACTGATTGTTGTTAATTGTATTTAGTTTTCAGGCAATTCATTATGTAGTAATTAATTAAATCACAATCAGCAATACAATTGATTCTAACCATTAATTGTAAACTATGATAAATTATTATCATTTCGTAATAATCAATATCACCATTAATCAAATTAACGATTAATAATAATTAAAATTACTTATATAAATCAATCAAAATAACTAGTGCAATAATTTGACTAGAAATGATTAGTTTCTACGTTTCATGATTAACGATTTAGTCATGATTAAGTTGATTGTTTGAGAAAATTATAAAAAAAAGTCTACTAACTTTGGGTCATTACGGAAATGGCAGCCATATAAAGTGTAATGGTCAACAGCATAAACAAATTGCTTGACCGGATGTTTATTATCATCATCAAACCAAGTCCATTTTGGATTGGCTTTATTACAAACATCAACTGGACCCGGAAGTCGGCAGCCCAATAATCCAATTTTAATTGCGAGTAAATGATTAGCCGTTAAACTATTTTCAAGTGAATCAATGATGAACCTTAAGTATCGAGTCTCAATATTACCACCGATACGAATCTCGTAAAGTCCATTAACACTTTGCTGGACATTGGTCACATTTAACTTGGATGTTGCTTTAAACCACATTATCGAATCATCGGAAATTTCAAGATGAAATGAAGTTAATTTTCTTGAGAAAATCTGCTGATTAATCATTGGATAAGATAATTGAATTCCTGTAATTCGTGTTCGCCCAAGTAAATCGTATTCAATAAAATCGTGGTCATAGCTTGAGGCCGGTGACGGTATCCAAGCAGAATGTGAAATCGATAATCTTGATAATGTTGGTCCAAAAGTTGAATTAAGAGCAGTCGATGAAACAATTTGACAATCATTTAATTCAATTTGACTGAAACAATCTAAATATTGTAGGAAGATAAAAAAAATTAGTTAATCATTTATATTTAATCGTTGACAAAGCAAAAAAAAACTCGGCATGTTGAGACAGTTAATACATGATATTAATTATTCAATGGTAAGAATTAACTTTCGTCGTTAAAGTTAATTAGTTAAATTGGTTAGTTAGGTCTAATTCCAGTTCTCTATAATATACTAGTATCATAATATTTATACTCACTCAAAAGGGTTGACAGATTCATGAGAAATCATGAATCCATATGAGTTACAATTGTCAGAATCTTATTTTTGATATCATGAATATAGTGATTACTAATATATCATGTAAATGGTAATTCAGTTTGATTGAATTTCATTGAAAAAATAGCAAATGTAAAGCAAGAAAAAAGCTATCATGAAATTATCTAGGATTCATCATGAAATTTTATAATTAAAGATGTGAGGTTTGATAAACATTGAGCTGTTCAAATTGTTGATTAATTAAAGATATTCGCGATCGACTAATCAAGATTAAAGGTCTAATTTGATTTAAAATTGAAAGGAAAAGATTCCAGATTCTGATTTAACTCATGATTAATGGCGATTATGCAAATCTGATTAATCAATGAAAATATAGTAAATTGATTTAGAAATTTTTATTTCCATAATTGTAAACTGAGACATAGTGGAAATTAATTTCATCGCTTGACTGTTGAACTGAATTAAAATTTGAAGCTCAAATGATGTTAATATTTATCATGATTGTTCATGAGAAAATTGAACTTTCTTGAAAGGTCATTGGTGATAATTTAAAAAACTTGAAACTCTCTGAATTTCAATGGAGAAAATTTTCAACTTGAAACGAGTTCTTCTTCATGTGTACCTGGTAATTCAGAGGAAAAATAGAAAATGATTTTCATAGAACTTGAAAAAGAGGAAAAGATTAAACAATTCAAATGAAAAGAAGAAGTTATTTTCTCTTTTACAAAATTCTGATCTTTTCATGGTTGATATTGTTTTCAACTTCCATATGATAACAATGTTGATAATATTTAGATGATTCTTAATGATAATAAATAATATATAAGTATTAGGACAAAGTTCTAATGAAAGAATTTTTTCTTCTTCTACTCCTCGAATAAGTTGCTTAGTATTCAAGTCGAGTTTTTCCACCAGAATTTGGAAAAAAAGATGAAAGTAAGAATTGAAGAAAATAACATTTCATGGAAACATTAACAACAGAATTCAAGTCATGAAATTATCTTCTCTTTCTCTCTCTTTCTATCATCATTATTATCTGGATTCTCTTCATTAAGTTAATTATTCACATTAACAGCAATTTAACTGAACCTCTTAAAAAAAGTTTACAATTAATTAATTCGAGAGTTCGATGGGAGAGATGAACACAAAAAAAAAGTTCTAATACAAAGTAACTATTGGGAGAAAAGAAAAAGTTCAACTTTTTTTCTATTAGAGTAAAGATAATTAATTGCTAATCATTTGAAAGGTTCACAGAATTGATTCCTCATGAAATCGTAATCTTAATTACTTTCTTACAAGCCCAACATAATAAAAGAATACTAATTATATTGGGAAAGAAAATTCGAACTTGCAATTTTTCTATCTCTCTCATCTTAAGTGAGATAATAAAACGAACTTCCAATCTGAAATTGATTGGTAAGTAAAGAATATACTCTGAGATTTATACTTATATCATGGAAATTTTTTTACTGAGTATATGAATCACTTGGATTGAATGCCAACATTAATCTGATGGATTCTTATTTTTTTTTCTTCATAAACTCATGAAAATTTCAATCATGATGATCAATGTTATTACTATATGATAATAATCATCTTAATTTGATCATAATATCAACAGATAAGTTAAACCTTAGTTACCAATCTGGTTGCTAAGAAAAATGCTGAAAATGATGACGATGAAACTTTTTCTTTGATGTAAATATACATTTTGTTCAGAGTACATAATCATCATTATCGTATTCAGATTCTGTAAATATTGTTGGTGTGTAATCACTCATAGAGGATTAACAGTTAATCCAAGTCGATGTGTTATGAGAAACAGTATCATGAATATACATTCTCAATATTTATCATCATGATAAATATCATTATCAGGATGAAACGAAATCATTTCATCAATTTCAACCTGAATATTAAAGTTCATTTGAAAAGGAAAAACTATAATTTCAACGATAGATATTGAATCAATTATCTTCCTCATGGTTATCATCATTATCATCACGTAATAATATTAACTGAATGAAATATAATAATAAGATTTAGAGTAAAAAAAACTATTATATTAATATAATTGTGATAATTTTTCATTGGATTAGATTTTGTATTATCCATTGAAACATTTTCATGATAATTAAAAGTAATTGATTATATTCAGTTAGTTAATTGTATTAGTTTTTAGTTGTATTATTATTTGATTGGTTTAAAGGCTTTCAAGTTAATTGTTGTTATTATTGTTTAATCAATTGTTTGATTGACCAATTGATTGTCAAAGTTGATTCTTATCATGAGAATAATTTTCATCAGAAAGAAAATACAATCAAATCTAATTAAATTAATATCTTGATGATTAACGAAAAACAAACTCAAGTAGTTGGGAAGATGAAAAAAAACTTAATTGTCAGCATTTACTTGACAAATTGCCTGCAAGCGATTAATCAGATTCTCAATGGGTTCACAATTTAATATGATAACTGAGTAAACTCAAGATTTTCATTCAGGATCATGAACATTAAATGAACTCAGTTCATGATTAAAATCCTTAATTGTTACACAACTTTTACAACTATTTGAAGCTCAATAAATTAAAACCAGAAGTATATTAATATTTGTAATAATTATCTTTTTGAATCTCCTTAATCAATGATGATTAACATTTTTCATGATGATTGTGGTTATCAGGAAGAAAACGATAATTATGAAGGGAAAAAAAGTTCAACTGTGTTTCATTGAATTTCATGATGAATATTATCAACTAATGTATAGAAAGTTAGTAAATGAGATAAATATGAATTCCGCTTCCGGTTTCAGGATTAACTACAGGAAACACTGGTTTGAGAGTTAATGAAAAGATATCACAATTTAATGGATACAATTAATGTGATTAACGTTTGGTCAGTTGATGTTAACTAATTAATGTAGCTAAAAGTTATTACTATTGGATAACCACTGTGAGTTACATGGAAAGGTTATCGTTGATTCATTGAAACACAGAGATAAAAATGAACACCGAAAATTAATCAGGAGAATTATTAATGATGAGAAAAAAATCGAACTTTTTTTGCTTCTTTTTCATGATAATGTTATTCTTAAAGATATATAATAATGTTGAGTCCATTCTGATGAAGGAAAAAAACTTCAGTAGGTCAACATGAATTACTTTCGTTTGGTTAAACTTAAATTCAGTCGATTACATGGTTGACAGAATGAACTTCATAATGATAACAAAGAAAAAGTTCTGATGATGAACAGAGTTATGAAAAATCGTTGGACTTTTTCATGTTGTAATAACTTTTATCTTTTCTCTCTCATATTTTCCATGGAATTTTGTTCATATTAAATTCGGAGAATAACAAAATTAACCAGGATAACATGATTATCAGAACTTTTTCTTCTTCCTTTGATTTTTTTTTCGCAACTTCTAATCACCTTAATGGTTGAACAATTTTTAATCTCATCATAGATATGAAAAGTATTTACTTTGATCATTTTCAATTCTGAAAAGATAATAATCAAACTCATTTGATATACAATTTCAAATGAGCATTTCAACCTCTAAACTCGGTGATGATTTAATGTTTAATTTAAATTCTGTTGTTGATTAAAATGTTTAACCTTAATTAGTTTGACTAACAGGCATGGAGACTTATGTTATGATAATTGAATGTTTTCCAAAGGTAATAAGATGTAAGTCTTTTCACTCGAACCTTTCAGAACTCGATTTCTTGTATTGTAAGTTTTCAAAGCAAAAGAGAGAAAAAAAAAGTTCTAATTCAGTTCTTTAGTAAGTTCGACTAATTTATATTGTATTGTAGCTCCTCTTTTCTTCAAGATAAATTTTCCAATGGATTTGTTTTTATAATTACCTTCTGATTTGTATGTGAATGAAATGTGTTTAAATTTAGAGATTAATTTGGTTCCTTGATGATACATTGTGATTAAGATTGTTGTTGGTATATCACCTCGCCCATAACCAATTAACTTGTTAGGATCAACGATTAAACTTAAATCAATATCAACGGTTTCCCAGAATAAGACAACGGGAACCTGAGAATAGGAAGTAATTAGATGCAAACAATTAGATTTAATCATCTTCTTTGTAGATCCTGCTGATTTTTAGGATTGGAAGTTGATTAATTAGTTTACCTTAACATCAAAATAGGTCAAGTTGATTGGTTGATTAATTGTAACTGGTCGAGAGGAAGCAATCAACGATTTAAATTCAAGATAATTTGGTAAATAAACTCGAACTGAACTGTCCAAAGGTTCACCTTTAGAAACATCGGTGTGAGACAATGAGACTCGAATAGAAACTTGTTCACCGCGTCCATAAGTATTTCGAGACGCTGATAGGCCCGTTTTAATGTTCATAAGTGGGACTGATGATGTTCCAGGTATGACCTTTACAAATCGATCACCTTGAGCTAGAACTTGAAGGCCATCCGTTGTTTCAACCATGAATCGTAAAGAGACTCGATTTCGACGAACCTCATCGCCGTTAAATGCTATCGAATGGCTCATCATTTGTATTAGAACTTGAACTTCAATGTTATCATCGCCATCGAGAGTGGCATTAACTTTATGGGAGAATCCAAAGTTTGCCGTGTAATCAAAAATTCCAGTTACTCGATTTTCGACTGAATCAAGGGTCACGTTAAGTGTCGCTGGTAGGCCAGTGGGTAAGTTACGACCTAATCGGGAAACTCGGATTCCTCGAACTGAAATAACAGGACGACCTTCAATGATTTCACCCGATGCATCAATGGTAAATCGTGATCTCCAATCAGGTTCCGTAGTTACGTTGAACTTTATCCAACGTGTCTCTCGAACGGCCAAGTGCTCTTCAATGGTGCTTTCATTAATCCAAACCGTTTTTGGAGCAATTGTATCAACATTTTTGACAGCAATCAATTTTGAATCATATCTATCTCGGAATTCCGTTCCAGGTATTTCAAGAATCGCTTCAAATTTGATGGATTGACTTGATTTAACGCTTGGTGATACTTGAAGTGCCGCTGTTACCTCGATCCAATTAGCATGTGAACTTTTATTTAAATTTGAATTTGCAATGACTCCTAAGGCGAATATACCTTTGGAAATGTCTTTGGATGCTGAGAAAGGTGAATAACACGGATAATTGGAACCAATCCAAGAAATCTCGAAATCGGTGATGTTGTAAAAATTTGAAGTTGGAAAGATGAGAGCTGGTTGAGCCATCGAATTGGGTTTGACCATAACACGCATACGAACTGCTGCTGGACCACCGATGGGAACTTGCAATGGATCTTTGGTGCCATCGATTATCTCAAAGTCATCGGTTTTTGTTTTAAGAGGTTTTGGGAATCGATTAATGGGAACAATGAACGCAGATCGTTCAGAATGTTTACCTGACTTGATAACGACATCGAATCTTTCATCTGAAGTTGCGGTTGGAGATAAAGTGACCATGGTCATTAATCGAATTTTATCCGCTTCTTCTTCTTCTTCAGCGGGTAAGGTTTCCCTAAGTGGCCCAAGATTCGAGATGACACCAAGGTGAAGTGTACCTTTCGTGTTGTGGCCTAGCTTTTTACTCTCAAGGACAGTTGTTGGGGACGCATCGAAACAGGGCATATTATGACCAACCGATTTGATCCAAATTGAACATATCGATGAATTTGAATCAGATTGGGTTGGAAAAACTTCAACTGTATAATCAATTGTCGACTGTGTTGCTAGTAACATCATGATCGACCCAGTGGTTGGTTGACCCACTCCAACTGATCCGGGTGTTGTTTTTGTGACTAAAACTTTGGGCAATTTTGAGGCAACTGTTGGTATTTCTGCACCGATGACAATTGGAATGGTCATCTTTTGACTCCAAGGTCCACTTATAGGATCACCAGTCCATGTAACTTCAAGGGTACGATTAGATGAAGATTCGATACCATTAGTACCCTTAATTGCGATGAAAGTGCTTATGGTTCGATCTTTGGTCGCGGTTATAGCTGCTTTGGTCTGAGCGGGTTTTGAACAAACATCGCCAAACGAAATGATTGCATCTTGGGTCAAGTTTCCAGATAAAGTTGATACATGAGATGAAATAACGGGTTCTAATGCTTTTGTGCAGGGTAAACTGTTACCAATGGAGGTCAAAGTGACCCGACAAATTTCAAGAGCCGAATCAGGTGAGTCCACTTCCGAATTTTCAGATCAACATTTGAATAATTTGCTGTCGGTGGTAAAATCAATTCAGTTTCAAAGGCTATTCCACCCTCACTATGAATCTCTTTCCATGGGACCACCTTATCAAAGCTTGTCTTAAGTAGCCCACCTTCGTCCGGTTTACCCGGAGTTATGGTGACATTTGCTTCATAATACTGACCAGAAGTGTAGGATTGACCGGAAGGATAAACATCAAGGGAGATTAAAGCTCCGGCGATTGATTCATCTGAATTAATTTTCAAGGCCAATTCAATTTCAATATTATTGTTGATTAGAGTTGGATAAAGTGAGACAACATTAATTTTTTCAAAGATAAAAGTTTGTTTTGAACCTGAATTTTTAGGTGGAAACCATGATGAATTCAGATAAGGGATATTAGGGCTTGACTGTCCAGGTAAAAGTCTTGCCCCACAAGAGTCAACTGATAATCCTGGACCAGCGTCTTTAAGGACAACCTCAAGGTCAGTTAGAGTACCAGTTGAACCAAGAGTGACATTTAACAAGACGGAGGTCAAATCACCGGGATTCACAGATTTCGGTGAATAATCACCAGTCAGTCCAGTTACGGGTGACCATGATTTCACTTGCGAGGTCATTGTTGATGAAACATTTGAAGATATTAATTTGATGCCAATTGTTTGGCTAAAACGGACCTTAGCACCGAAAACGAGTCTTAATGTTAAATTAGCATTGGAACCATTATTGGCCTCATAATTTAATCCATAAACAGGAATCTTAAATTCAAACAAATTTGAATCATCGTCAGTGTTTTTCTCTAGGTTACCAGCGGTGGCAGCTATCGAGGTGATGGTGCCCAGTTTAATAAGTGACCGATAATATGAGGCTCTAGATGTGGCCAAGCTACGCTCAACTTCATAGTGATTAAAATCTTTGGGAAGTGCTGCCCAGTTGAAGCCCATAGATCCAAGTCCAATTTGACCCAAAGACACTTTATTATCTGGTGCCCATTTCGTGTTCGGAACTGTGGCCTCTACAGTTAATATATCAGATCGAAATGCCATTTTTGTACGAAATGAATATATCGCTGCACTACCAAGGGTCAACTCTTCGGGTCCCGTTAAAGTACCAGATATAATTGGATCAGTTTTGACTCTATCATAAGTAACCTGATCTTGTCCCACCCAAACAAATCGATTACCCTGAAATTCAGCGCCCACAGAGACCAAATGTTTCGATCCTGGTTTAACATCTTCATTGTAAAACATAACAGCTGAGAATTGAATGGTCAACGAGTTACCATTATGTCCAGAATTTTCAATTCCATCCAAGTTGATTATCACCCGATCATAAACATTAGCATTTGTTTTACTTAGATGATACTGAGGTTCAGTCGCTGATTTTGGTAAAACTATCTTCTTATCATGAAACATGGTAACATTATACAGCGATAAGATTGGAACATGATTTGGATTAGTTGGTTTTCGGGTAAATAGTTCAATATATAAATCGTTTTCCTTTCCTTTGGGCAAATTAATAGTAACCAAATAATTAAGTGAATCACCAGGTTTACAATTATCCGAATCACCTTTAACCATTTGTAAATTAAATAGTAACTTTTGTTCAACTGGTTCTTTATTGGATTTACGAGGTGGAGCTCTTTTAACACGTATCATTGATTCATCACGATTAGCTTCATCATCATTTGATCCATTCTTTTTCTTGGCCAATTGATTGTTTTGACCATTAGAAAATTTAATTGTCAATAGTATCACGTCGTTTAGTTGATTATTAACCTCACGGACAATTGTTAAACTTTCATTTGATTTATCATCAAGATAATCAAATGATTTAATAAACAAGGAACCAGTAGTTTGATTAATTGTAAATATTTGTTTTCCTCCTTCAGTTGAGTGTTTAAGTTGATATTTAATTGATGTTGACAGATTCAATTTTAATTGTTCCAATATTGTTGATGGATTAAAAATAGGCAGGGATGGATTAAATTGTTTATCATTTAAATCAATTGTAATCTCTTTTTTAATTGTGGTTTCGCTACTAATATAACCTGTAATTAGGACAACGACAGGACAAAAAAAAAAGACAAATTAATTAGTTAAAAGGTAATAGCACAAAATAGTTAAATTATTATTAATATTATTAAATGAGTTGGGAGGGTTAATTGTTTGTTATTATTACAACAATAATATGATAATAATAAAAAAATAAATGAAGATATAATTGATTGCCCTTAATAATTATCACGGATCATTAACATCATAATAAATTAAATTAAATCTAATCATAAAAACATTACTATCAACAAATCTTATCCATTGAAATGTCAATGATGATGAAAAATCATGGATAATGATTCTGACCTTGTATCAAATTAGCCAATGATAATCAATAATAATGGTGATTAACTAATTGAGTTAGATGTTTTTTTCATCATTAGAAGCGAAAAAAAACAATTAAAGTGATAATTAAAATCAAATACAGTAAAAGGTATTAATAGATTAATAGATTAATATTAGTGAAGGAAAAAAATGTTAGTTGATATTTTGATTGGTTATTTTCTCAATCTGATTACTTTAAATTGTAAATTCTGATTTAGATGATTAAGTTGTGTTGAAGATGAAGATGGAAAATCTTTCAAAATATTAATCATTTTTTTGTCATCCATCTGATTCCCTGTCGTTCATTTTGAATGGATAGTTGAAATTACCTGGGAAAAAGCTCAAGGGAGTTTTTTTCACTCTCAGGTTCAATTATCTATTCATGAATCTGAATATCAGGGGAAGAGATAAAGATAGATGATGCAACACTGATGACGAGGATGAGGATGTGAATTAAAATTCGAGACTACTGATAAATAGTAATAGAAATGTGTTGATGAAAGACTTTTGTTATTCCAAGGAAAAAGGTTACGTTGGGAAAGGAGATTATCATCATTTTTATCTTCTTTTTTCTTCCTCATCTTTTCCTCTATTTGTTACCAGTATGATTACGTTATCGTATTGATCATCATCTTCATCATTGTTGTTCATCAGCATCACCATTCATTGGAGTATTTAATCATCTCCTTTTCTGTTAATTTCTTTTTTTCTCTTCTTCTTTTGGCACTTATTTTATTTATTCATGTCACAGCTATGTCAATGTTCATTGTTTTATTTTCTTTGGCTTTTCCATCAACAATTAACTAATTAACTTGATAAAAGAAAAGAAATCACTCCTGTAATTTGGTTTAATTGTTATGTGGTGGAAAGTTTTGAAAAGAAATGCAATTTAAATACAGCCATCGACTTTGAGTTTGCAACCACTTTTAATTTACTCTCGACGATAATGATAATCAATGAGAGATTAAGTTAACCCAAAGATATGATAATAATCAATGTCTTCTCATTTAATTGGTGTTATCTTTTCAAATGGTCATCTGATTAGATTTATCTTTGACTGATTATCATTAATTGCGCGAGTAAATTAAAAGTGGTTGCAAACTCAAAGTCGATGGCTGTAAACATTTGGTTCTATTGTTTTTTTTTCATATTAGAGGATTGAGTTAGTTTTATTATTAGTTTAGGTTAATTGTGGGCAATTTATTATTGTTAATGATAGTTAAAAATTAATGACTTACCAATTTTTGAAAGACCAATAAGCCAAAATATAATTGTCAAGTTTAGAGTTGATAAGATATAACTTTTGATTGAAAAGTTGATTGGATTAACGAGTGAAACCATGATTTAGTTGACTATTAAGAAGAAGAAAAATAAAACAATTAAATAATTTGATGCAAAATTTAAAATGCAAGTTGATTGTTGACCGTTGATTTAGTTTGCTCACTATTAAATATTGTTAATTCTGATTTATCCATCTTTCCAAGTTGAGTAATTTCTGTTGTCTTTTCATTTTTTGGCTCTTGCATTGATCAAAACTAATTGTATTGATTAGTAACAAATCATTTTGATTAGCCCATTTGTCCATGTGTATACATTGTACCATCCAAATTTTTTACCTTGGTAACAGCAGATCAACTGATAAGTAAATGTTACAATGATCAAGGAGCCATGAAAAGAACAACAGAATTAAATCGGTTATAAACATGACAATCAGGGGAGATAATCTGGTCCATCTGAATATAAGTCCATCCTTAATTGAAAAACAATAATAATTTATGATAACAACAATTGATTCATTATCAAAGCCTTTGGTTATAAATGGTCACTTGTTTATACCTTTTTGATTGTGTTTACCAAAAACCCTAACCCAGTGAACACCAAACAATTACGTTAATTTTTTCATTGCTCCAATGGTCAAGTTATCACTCTAATCAGGTAATTCGTCTTTGTCTCTCCATGTATGTAAATTAAAATACCAACAATATCCAAATGACGTCCAGGTAACGGTAAAGTAATCATAAAGAAAGATCTTAATTTAAAACAGTTAAATCAAGTTTTCTATACATAAATCAACTCATTGTCTCCAAAAGCCTAAGCCAGTGAAATGTTTTCTTTTGGTAAATTCCAAGGAAGAAAAGACAAATCCAAAATCGATTCCATTTCTTGTTCGACTAATTGTTGAATTAAATCTGCGATGAGAAAAAGAAAATAAAAATAATAATTAAAACATAAAAGAAATTAACTCTTGTTAATTAACTTTCGCTTCTAATCCAACGACCAAATTAAATTTTCTATTCTATTCTGTTCTCCAAAAATCGGTAGATGGCGTTAGTGTGAATTCTTTTTTTTCCATAGAGAAAAAAATCGATCATTTTGAAAAGAATTGGAATTGTTTTCAATTTGATTAATAGATTTGCTTCATTTTAATTCTAATTGTTTATCAATTCGATTTCGTTCATCAAGTTAATTTAATTGTTTTTCGTTTCTGAAGGTGAACCAAGTTAATTTGTTTTTCTCTCTGTGAAATTTGGATCAATAAAATAATAATTATGGGTGAAAATCCAAAGGAGTTTCTTTATGCTTGGTTAGGAAAACAAAAAATCTCACCGGTGTATGATTCATGTAACATGCCAGGTCCAAAGAATAAATTTAAATGTGAAGTGTGTGTTTAATTATCACTAATTGATTTCACTAATCAGTTGTAAAATTAAGTGAAACAATACTAATGGTGTTTTGGTTTTTTCTTCCCTTTTTCGCTTTTGGCTTTTACATTAATTTCTAGGTTAAAGTTCCTACATATGGTTATGTAGGTATTGGAATATCTACAAATAAACGAGATGCTGCTACTAATGCAGCTCGAGATTTTATCAATTTTCTCATAAGAGAGGGACGGGTTGATCCATCTTCTTTATCTCTAAGTGGTAATTCTGGTGGTGACAATTTTGGATCAAGAGGTGACCCTGGTTTGGTTAGAAATGATTCAGGTTGTGTCACTGGTGTTGGTATTGGTACATCAAACTATGGATCTGCTTCTGGCTATGGACCTATGATTAGAGGCTATGGACCTAATTATCGACCACCGCCACCACCATCACAGGATCGTAGACATAATCCTGGCTTTATTAACATTAAGGAAACCTTTAATCAAGATTATATTGATCGTGTTGCTCAGAAAAGGAAATTTGAAGAAGCTGAGGAATTGGATGTTAATTCTAGTATTCATGGAAATTGGACTTTAGACAATTGTAAACAGCAACTTCATGTCTTCGCTCAAGCAAATAAGCTTAAATTAGATTATAAATATAATCCCGTTGGACCAGCTCACAATAGGTGAGGAAAAAAAACAATCGAAATGATGATGAACACTTTCTCTTTCCTTTGATTTCTTTTTGAAAATCTTTCTTTACTTTGAAGTGTTCGTTTCATCACAAGTATCCTAACATTTTAACCTCTTCAGAATCGTTGGGTCATGATGTCAAGAAACAAAGAAAATTAACTAGTTAACCATAGATAATCTTTCAGATTTCGAATTGCAATGAAAAAAGAATAGATTTTCTTTAGCTTTCCGAAGCTAAACTCAATATTTTCTCCCATCATCTTCATTAGTTAACTAGAAGATTATTTTTTTTCTCAATTCGTCAGATTGATCAACAAAGTGAACAGTCAATTTTTTCCATCATTTCTACCATGTAGATGTTTAAATTCATGGTAAGGAAAAGAATTGATTGATGCTAATCAACTTAAGTGAATTTTTCCTCTCGTTTTTAACTCACTTGATTTATTTAAACAAAATTATCTCTGTTTACTTGTGGAATTGATGGGAGAGGAAGAAAAAAGAAATAATGTAAATAGACTCTTGTTGATGGTCACTTTCAATCAGAAATTAAAAGCCTCTTCTTTTCTTTTCCATTTATTCACCTAGAAGAACAATTTTTTCTTCTTGATTGAAAGAGACTCTCAACAAAAGTACATTGTAATTCAATTCATGCCCATGATTCTGAAGAGGGACTATTTTCGTTGGCGATGGTTAAATAACAATGTCTCAACCCTATCTAATTGCGGCCATGCAGGAGTTTCTGTTGCGAGATAACATTTTACGTTAAACAACTTGGACGAAGTAAGTTTTTTTTTCTCTTTCGTTTCGAACCTTTGATTTACATTGTATCAAACTAACTCCATTCTATTCGTTATTTTTTATGCTTTTAGATGTTACAGCCCGAGAAAATGCTTCGACCAAACAGTTGGCATCAAGAGCTTGTGCTCTATCGTTGATGAGACAATTATATCATTACGGAGTAATTGAAGCTTTTAACACAACGGGAGAAAGCAAGAAGAAAACAGCGACAAAGGTAAATAAGCTGAAAGATATCTAAATGTAATAATATCGATGTTTAATCCTGGTTCTCATTTACCTTTAGGTTGATACTTATGGTTTTGACTTTCCCCAAGATCTTTTACAAGAGATTAATGAAGTTATCGCTGAAAATGGACTTAAACGATGTCCAGTTCGTATTCCTTCTGGTTTACCGATGTGCGAAGGTGGATCTGTTGATGATCAGCTTGTCTCTCTGGTTCCCGAACATGAAGTTGTCCTTAATCGAGAACCAGTTAGCAGTCAAAGTTGTGTTAGCTGGTGTCCACCGATTCCTAATTGGGATGCTTGGAAAGGCTGTAATATTGACGAAGGGCAAATTAGTAAATTAAGTTTGCAACAATTGAGTGAAGGTCTTTACGAGAATTATGAATCAAATAAATCTCGCTGTCCACCTGAAGAAGGTCGTATCTATCGAGAGAGATCTCGATTACCTGTTTGGACTTGCCGGGAAAATATTATTGATTCTATTAATAATAATCCGGTGACAATTATTCGTGGATCCACTGGTTGTGGTAAAACAACCCAAATACCTCAGTTTATCTTGGATGATCACATTGCAAGAGGAATTGGTGCTGAGTGTAATATTATTGTTACCCAACCTCGACGTATCAGTGCCGTTTCAATTGCTGAGCGACTTATCCAAGAGCGAAGTGAATTTCTTGGGCAAAATGCTTCCGTTGGTTATAGTGTTCGTTTCGAATCGATTACACCTCGTCCTTATGGTGCAATTCTATTTTGTACCATTGGTGTTTTATTGCGAAAACTTGAAAATGGACTTCGTGGTATTTCCCATGTTATTATCGATGAGGTTCACGAACGTGATGTTAATACTGATTTCTTATTGGTTGTAATTCGTGATATGATTAATAACTTTCCCAAATTACGAATTATAATTATGTCGGCTACAATTGATACAACCATTTTTCAGGACTATTTTGGAGGTTGTCCAGTTATCGAGATCCCCGGCCAAACTCATCAGGTTCAAGAATATTTTCTCGAAGATTGTGTTGAAATTACTCGATTCAGACCAGTACCAAAAGATCGAAAAAAACGTCACGATGATGATCTTCTTTCCGAAGAACCGGAAGAAAATTTGAATGCTAATGTTTCTACGAACTATTCATCAGAAACCAGATATGTCATGAGTCAATTAAGTGAACGGGAGATACACTTTGAACTAATCGAAGCGTTACTTGGTTATATTAAGAACATGGAACTTGATGGCTCAGTTTTGATCTTCTTGCCTGGTTGGGGTCAAATTTTCTCCCTGGTCAAGCATCTTGAGGCGAATCCTTTTTTCAATTCTCCGCGATTCCGAATTTTACCTCTTCATTCACAAATACCTCGAGATCAACAGAGAAAAGTTTTCGAACCTGTTCCCAACGGAGTGACAAAGGTTATCCTTTCAACCAATATCGCTGAATCAAGTATAACCATTGATGATGTCGTTTTTGTCATCGATACTTGTAGAGTTAAGATTAAACTATTCACCTCACACAACAATATGACCGTTTACAATACCGATTGGGCTTCGAAAACTAATCTTAAACAAAGACGAGGTCGAGCTGGTAGAGTTCGAGCGGGTCATTGTTTCTTTCTCTGTTCACGAGCCCGTTATGAGCAATTGGAAGAGTTTCATTCAGCTGAGATATTCCGTACTCCCCTTCACGAATTGGCACTCATGGTAAAATTACTTCGACTTGGCGCTATTACCACTTTTCTCTCAAAAGCAATTGAACCACCTCCAATTCATTCAATCATCGAATCAGAGGTTTTACTTAGAGATCTGAAAGCTTTGGATGAGAGAAGTGAACTTACATCTCTTGGACGTATTCTCGCCCGATTACCTGTCGAACCTCGATTGGGTAAAATGTTAATTCTCTCATGTATCTTTCAACTTGGTGGAATGATGTCAATCATAATCGCTAACACTTCTACCTTTCCGGAAGTTTTTGACACTACGTTTCCACGACGATTACCGTACATTCACAACAGGTATCGAAAAGATCGTTGGTCAGATCATATCTCCATTTTAAACGCTTATATTAGCTGGGAAAGAGTAAAGTATGGCTCCGGAGAAATGGCAGCGGTTGATTTTTGTGAGAGAAATGCAATTATGTCGACTGTCATGAGAGTGACACATGATACAAAAAATCAATTAATAGATTTGATAAAAAACACTCATTTTCCTGATGCAACTTATTCCAAGTTTGATCTTTACGATTCGGATATTGATTTACTTCAAGGATTACTTACTCTTGGCTATTATCCTAATGTTTGTCTTCATAAGGATAAGAGAAAAGTGTTGACCACCGAGGCCAAGATTGCGCTCATGCACAAAACATCAGTTAATTTTACCAATCTACCACCAGACCAATTTCCTTCACCATTTTTCATTTTTGGTGAAAAAATCCGAACCAAAGTTGTATCTTGTAAACAATTATCCATGGTGACACCAATTCATTTGATGTTATTTGGAAGTAAACGAATTGATGTTCGCTCTGAAAGACTTGTTCAACTGGACCGTTGGATGGATCTCGAAATGAATCCAGAAGTTGCCGCTTCGATTGCAGCTCTTCGACCTGGTATCGAAAATCTTATCCTTAAAGTATCAGAGAATCCGGAAGCTTGTCTAGAATTGAGTAAACCTGAGATAAAACTCATCGAAGTGGTTCGCAAATTGAGTTCTTATAATCTAATAACGCTTCAAAAGAAACCACCTCGATTTTGATCACGTCAAACGAGTGGCAACTATAAAATTACACTCCCAAACCAAATGGAGACAATTTCAAGAATCAATTAAATTGTTGATTATCCTAAGACTCATAATATCATTAATATGAAAATCAAATTTATACACACACACATACACACTACAAGATATCATTTTAATCAACCATTCGTACCTTGTCAATTACAATTCACTAAATTGGTTGATATTATAATTTCCTTAAGTTAATTTCAGAGACAAATTGTCAAAATTAATAATCAAAACAACAAAATAATGTAATAATTTTCAATCAAATTGTCCTAATTATAAATATATATTACTCTTGATATAAAAGAAACTTGATATTGTTTCATGAAACATGTTTCTTTTAGATCAATCATCTAATAATAATAATTACCTGTAATTTAAATCTCTGATTTCATGTTATTAATTTACTAATCATCACCTTTGTAAAAATCAACCCAAGAATCAGATGAAAGGACTTACGATTTGCTGAAAAAAGGTAGTGATCGAAACCAACTGATTAAGATAAAAACAATTTAATTTGTTGACAAACAAGTTAAAAACCAGTTCTTATAATTAACTTTTACCTTGCTTGATGAAAGTTAATTCATTTACTAATCATCAACTGTTAATTACACAACCAATTCAATTTTAAAGTGATGAAATTTTTACCAAAAATGAATTCATTGTTTATCATTTCAATTGTTATCTCTTCTTTATCATGTTTAATTGTCTCTGGATACAAAAGTAAGTTTAATTAATTCAAAATTCAAAATTAATTCAACATTTCTCTCATTAACTGTTCACTTTAATTGTCAATCACAATCAACAGTAAAAGCAGTTTGTAACCTTAGAGGTCAAAATGTACAAGGAACTGTAAATTTGGAGCAAGAGGTAATGATCGATGTTGATTGTGATTAATTTGTAATAATTAAGTTTTTTTCAATTCTACCACAATTAAGGTTGGATATCATACTAAGATCCAAGGTGAAATTTCCGGACTGTCACCAGGATCTCATGGTTTCCATATTCATGAATTTGGTGATATATCAACTTTGAATTGCTCATCAGCGGGGCCACATTATAATCCAAGAAATAATGACCATGGTAATTAAGGAATTGTGTTAATTGTTATTGATTTATTCTAATTGTTGATTTACTTAAGGCTCTCCAAGTGATAACAATCGACATGTCGGTGATTTAGGAAACATTGAAGCCGATCAATCGGGAAAAGCAACATTTGATTTCGATGATTCAGTGATTATGCTCAGTGATTCAAATTCAGTTATTGGAAGATCAATTGTCGTAAGTGTAACAGTTAATTGTTGCTCTTTGGTAAATTGCTAATCAATTGTAAATCAATCTCTTTAAAGGTTCATGCTGATCCTGATGATCTTGGTAGGGGAGGTCATGAATCGAGTAAAACCACAGGAAATGCTGGTGGACGATTAGCTTGTTGTGTGATTGAAATTGCTAAATAAGTTCATCAATTAATCGAGTAATTAACTGTTTCGATTATCACAATTACCTTTTTAATTTTAATTTTAACTACATTTGTATAACAATTACGAAAATTGCATTTCAATTACGATTCAACCCAATAATTAATAAGGAAATAACAACAATTACCAATGTTTTCTTCATGCATTAACTATAATCATTAACGATTAACTATTAATAAAATAAAATAAATTGTTACGATTAACAAAAAAACGAAAGAAAAAAAAATGGAATCAAATTAATTGTCAATTATTATCCATTTGATGGGTTAATCAACGTAGCTCATTTGATTACTTTGTCAAGCTAAATTGATTGGTGAACAAATTAAGGGAAAGTTGACTAAACAATTAGAATTTAATTCTAATGGATTAACTGTTAATTTAAATTGTTCACCTGATCCATTGGGAAGAGTAGGAGGGACTTGAGGCGGGAATATAAGGAAACCTCGAGAAGAGATTGATTTTATTTTCATCCTTTCGCTTTTGCTTATCATTTGTCATTCTCTTAATTGTTCAATTGTAATTCTCTAATTAGATATTCTAATTTGATTTGTGTTCGTCAACATTGTCAACAATTAAAATGGTAAAAGCGGTTTGTGTCCTTAAAGGAGATGCCGGTGTTACTGGTGTAGTTCATTTGGAGCAAGAGGTCAGTTTATGTTTACATAATTTCTGCCATTTTGTTTTTTTGCTTTGATTGTTTCTAGTTAATTGTGGTGATTTTAATTGTGTCGGTGATTGTTTATTGTTTATTAGGCTGAAGGAGCAACTAAGGTTAAAGGTGAAATCACTGGATTAAAACCTGGTGCTCTTCATGGTTTCCATATCCATGAATTTGGTGACAATACAAACGGTTGTATGTCTGCTGGTCCTCATTTTAATCCACACAAAAAGGAACATGGTAATTGATTCTAATTGTTGTTTAATTGTTCATTTTTATTTAGATTTACTTTGATTTTCTTTGAAGGTGCTCCTGCTGATGAGAATCGACACATTGGTGATCTAGGAAATGTCCAAGCTGATGCCTCGGGAAAGGCTACATTTGAATTAGCAGATTCTCTGGTCAGTCTTACTGGTTCACTTTCAGTTATTGGTCGTTCAATTGTTGTAAGTAATTGTGTTCCTTGGTTTTGGTTCATTTAATTTCTCTAATTGAATTCTAATTCTCTTTGTTAATTAAGGTCCATGCCGATCCTGATGATCTTGGTAAGGGAGGTCATGAATTGAGCAAAACCACTGGAAATGCCGGTGCGCGATCGGCTTGTGGTGTCATCGGTGTTTCCAATTAGTAAATTGGAAAGAATCACCTTGATTAACATTAGGTAAATTAAAGTGAAACCTTCTAATAGATTTTCTAATTCTAACCTTAACCTTTTCCTTTTCTTCCAGATAATTCCAATGCTCTGATTGTATTTTATTTTGTATCTATTATTTTTTCAACATGGTTGTTAGTCTCTCTCCTCAGTTTGTGTACTTGTTTTCCTGTTAAAATCCAAGGACAACCAGGTTATCTGCCAAAGCATTTATTGTTAATTCAATGGGATGATGTAAAATTGAGTCTCAACAATTAGCGAGCCGAGTGCAATCAACAAAGTCATTAACGAGAGAAAAAAAAATTCACTAAGATCACCAACATAAACACTCACATTGAAAATCCAATTAGATTTTAAAAGATAACCAGTTCTTAATGTTTTTCTCCTTACTTTTCCTCCCCTTATAATCCATCTTTCAATATTGTCAAACCAAAATAAATTAGAATCACATTCAAAAAATTAATCGAAAAAGGAAAAGTCAACTACAATTAAATTTTAAATTCCAAAAATGGAAACAAACAAAAAAAAGATTCTCCTTATTCTTTCAACTTTTCTCCAATAGGTGGCAGCAGAAAAGTCGATCAGCTGTTTTTCGAAAATTTTTTTTTCCAAATTCATTTGAATTGTCCACTTGTTTCACTTGTTTCTTTTTCTCAATTTTTAATTGTTCTCTCACTTTCTACTTGTGCCAATAATTTTTATTCTCTATTGCCATGGATCCTTTGAGCTTTAACAACAGTGGCAACAGTAACTTACAGAGTAATTTTATTCCAAACGAGATGAACCTTTCCCTTGGTGGTAATCAACAATTTCAGCAAAATTTTCTGACCGGTGGTCCACCGACCCTTGTTGTTATCCCAAGTAATATCCCTTTGTATCCTGGTTATCAAACTATGGGTGGAAATAGTTCAACAACCAATGGTGGCAATGGTAATGGAGGTAATGGTGGACAATCAACATCTAAATATAACCAATTGTTAACGGTGATTGATGAAATGTCGAAAGATGTTAGGCCAATTTACTCTGGATCAAAAACATCCACTGATCGATTTAAACGAGGTCTAATTCATGCAAGAGTTTTAATTAGAGAATGTATTCTTGAAATGGAAAGAGGAGGAGGAGGAGAGAGAAGTGGAGGATCTCACTAATTAATTATTTCGCCAACTAAATTGACCTGCTTTTATTTGGTTTATTTATTCCTAACCTGTTACCTTTGGTGACCAATACCTGATGATCGTAATCAATTTTTTTCCACCAAAAATAAGCAAACAAACTTAACTGATTAAGTTGAAATTGTTTATCCTTCTTCAACTAATAAACGAAGAAACTTTTCTTTACTTATATAATTACATCTAATCAACAACAAACCAAAAGATTTTCAATTGGTTGAACAACAAATTACTGGTTTAACTATAACGGTAACAATTGAGATGGATTTGGTTGGAAACTTGGTAACTCAGTCAAGTGAAATGTTAATCCTAACTAATCCAGAATCTTTAGGAATAAGGTTAATCCAAATGAAATGGATTAAATGGAAACCATATAACAATTAAAGTGATTTATTGTTTTAAACCAAAATTTGATAATAAGGTTTCACAAATTATATATAAAGTTAATCCTTTATATCATCAGGATAATCACCAATCAAAATAAAAGGTAAGATTAATAATAATAAAGAGGCTACAAAATTGACAATTAAATGTTCAGCTGATTGTTATTATTGTTGTTGATCAAATGTAAACAGATTGTGTGTATGTTTGATTAACCATCACAAAAGTATTAATACAAAACCAGATGAGAGTCAAAGTGATTGATTGATAAATTGTTCCTAAACTTAATGTGTAATGTGAGTAGATTCAATTAGTTAACAACAACAATCAATTTACAAGGTTAATCCAAATGTATTGAGGAAAACTAATCATCTAAATTTACTTGATGATGATGAAAAGTCGAGCAGAAAACAATTAATCTCAAGATTAATCTCTCTCTCTCTCTCTCTCTCTCTCTCTAAACTTAATTTCATTATTGATTAGATGACAATTCATCATTATCCTCATGATGGAAGACAACTGATGAAGATGATAATAATGATGATTAAATCGCAGACTCAGTGATTTGATTTGATTTAGTTTATCTTGTCAAATCTAATCAATTTAAAGTAAAACAACAATCAGTTTTTATTTTGATTACAGTTTTTGTCAAATCTTTTTGTTAATCAATTTTCTGCTTCTGCCTCTTGTTATTTAAATTGTTCAACCAATTGAATTTAATTGTTCCAACTAATCATTTCTTGTCAAACAACCAAATTTCGTCAACAATTATTAACGATGGACGATGAGGCTAATCAATTAATGCTTCTTTTCGTATTCACTGTCCTCGCATTAGCGGTAATCATAATGATTATAATTGTTTCCATGAGACTTTGTGTTCGTAATTCTTGATAACAATTAACTGACCATCACAATTAACCAATGGAACTGCCAATCAATCTGATTCACTACTTTTAATGGTCATCATTAGATTCAATGGTTTCTCAATGGAAACCAATTTGGTTGATTAACTCACCATGTTGATTAGTTGATCAATTAGTTTTTACCTTTTCTTTTAACTTGATTGTTATTCCAATGATCAATTAAATTAGATTATCATGATTGTTGACCCTTTAGATTAACTAAATTACTTTAATTGTAATCATTTTCTGTCTTTTTAGTGCTTTTAAATTGTATACTTTTAATTTGAACAATTAAACTTTTCTTTTCATCAATTTAATTTTACAATTGTTTACAATATTGGTTAATTTTCCTTAATAAATTGTATCATACAAAACTTATTAATCCGATTAACTTAATTGTTACTCTCAAAAATTAACAATCATATTAAACAACTTTGACCTGGTAAACAATTTATATGTAAACTGATTTGGTTCAAATAAACTGCCCAATGGTCAGTTAATATTTGTATTCAGAATCAAATTAAAGGTCAATAGTGAATCTTGAGTAATTTAATAATCTCAACAATTAATTTAATAGTTTAAAATTTAGATGGACAATTAGAGAAATCAATTATAAATCCAATAAGAAAAGTCGATTAATGAAAATGTCAACAATTAAAAGGTCACTTTAATTGTTTATTTTTTTTTTCGTTTCTTCTCTAACAATTTAAATAATTGTTTTTCTTTATCTTTGTCAACTAATTAGTTAATTAATTAACCTTGGTAAGGTAATTGATTTACAACAGGTAATAACAGGTTAGTACAATATTTGTTTGTTCACTAATTAAGAAACTTGATTAACAAGTAAATGGATAATTTCAATTTCTATTATCTTTTTTTTTTACTCTTCTTTTGATTTAATTTTCTATTGGCCATTGATTCATTGGTCAATTATTGCCTCAAGCGATGACCTATTAAGCTGCTGGTTATTAGTAATTAGTGGTCAGTTTAACGATAAGTGAATGGATTTCAAAGGTTAAGGTTAATTTTAGAGGAAAGTGTTGATCGCAACGAAGAAAAAAAAGTTTTTTTTTTCTTTTCTATTTCTCTCATGATTATCATCATTCATCTTCCATGATGATGGTCATTCATTAGAATAGTAAAGGTCCAGCCTTTTTTTTACTTTCGAATTTGAAATATTCTTTTCTCTTCTCATTTAGTTTATTTTCTCACTTGTTTAGGTCAGTGTTTGTTGCATGTCCACTTGTTGAGGTTAACTGTTGATCGTAATTAATTGTGATTGTTTGAAAATTTTTCCTAATTAACTTTTCGTTTCTGTGATTTAACTTTGCTACTGGACGGAAACTGGACATTGAAATGGTCACTTGTTGATCAGCCACTTTACAGTTAAATTGTTTGGATTCTCATCTCTCAAAATTATTGTGATTAATTTGTGAACAATCATCTAATCATTATGAGTGATTTGGAAAAGAAATTAAAAGATTCGGTGGCAATTAAGACGATTCGTGATAAATTTAAGGACAATTTACCCAAAAATCGAGATAAATTTGATGAGAATGATATTCAAAAGGTAAGCATACAATTTACTAATTAATGTTCAATTAACAATCTGTTGATTACAATTTAATACCTTAAACTGTTGATGATTTAATTTTGTCCGACTAAAATTATACCATAAATTTAATTCTGTTTGTTCTGTTCATTGAATCATCTTGATTATCTTGTGTAATTATCTTAATTGTTGAATGAAAAACACCTAAAAGACTAAATTAACAATTAAAATTTAATTTCATCCCTTTGATTATAAGTTTAGATTATTTTTTTGCTGCCTTAATTGTTTTGTTGGTTGTGAGACTCCCAACCACAATTAGATAATCGTCATAATTAAACCTTGAGAGATCATTTCATTTTTAATTGACTGAACAATTAACTTGTTTTTCATCAAATTGTAATTGTAATTAGAAATTAATGTTTTCTATTTTGTTCTTCTGATCATTATAACTTTAGATTCTAACCGACGATTGGTACGTTAAACGCTTCTTAATTGCTCGCAATCGCTCAACGAATGCCGCTTATAAGATGATTTTGGAATCACTTGAATGGCGTCGAAATCAAGGATTCGCTACTTTACCCTCGAATTCATTTCCCCAAGAGTTTTACTTCGTGAACGCGATGTTTGACTACGAACCCGATAAAGAGGGAAATGTAACCCTTCACATTAGAGTTCGATATGTCCTTCGATGTGGCCCCTTGGTACCTCATGCGGTTAAATGGGCTTCAAAGTTTTTCTACGATCTAGAAAATCGCTGCTCATCTTCATTCTTTACCATTCTCATTGATTTCTCTGGGTGTGGTATACGAAATGCTGAGTTCGATTTCGTCAAACACGCGGTTCAGGTTCTTAAAAATTACACACCCGCTTGTGTCAAGAGGATTTTACTGGTCGATTTGCCGCCGATCCTAAGGTTGGGATATAATTTCATCAAGAGTTGGATCCCTGAAAACGGACGATCGATACTCAAATTCATTTCTCGATCTCAACTCAACGAGTATATTGATCAGGCCAATTTACCTGATTATTTGGGGGGAACTTGTTCTAGACCTTATCAAGGTAAACAAATGGTTCCACTTGACTGTCCAACGGCCGTTGAATATGGACTTGCTTGTGGTATTCCTCTTGACCAGTGTGTTAAAATCGCCAAAACTTATGAACCTTTGGTCAAGGAGATTGGACTTTACGATGACCTTTCCAGTGAAACCGATTTCGCGGCTAAAGTTGCGAATGAATTAAAATCTCGTGCCGAAGGTAAATTAACTCAAGGTGAGGCACTTAAAGTGGCACAAGCAATTAGTGGTTAAATCAACTATCGACAGAGAATCAAGATCCAAATATTTTCTTACTTCGAACTACAATTAAATTGTATGATACATCAGAATTACAATGTAAATTCAAACAATAAACTTTAATTTACTTTATGAAATTTTACTTATTAAATAAACTTTATTCAAACTATACGAAAGTGATCAATTAAAGTTGATCACAATTAACAGTGAAACGTTAAATATTACATGAGATCAATTGAGAAAATATAATCAACAAGAAAAAAAGATCAAAAAGAAAAGGTGACAATTAGTTAATTTACAGAATATCGGATGAGAAAATGCAAGAGATGAATTATTTACATAAATTTCTATTAAAATAATTAACAAATTGTTGATTCGATTTTAAAAGTCGAATTAAGTTGATAGTTGATTAATTTTCTCCGAATTATTATTTGGTATAAGTGTGAAAATCATAGTTGGATCAACATCATCACTAGAATCGCCGCCTTCACCTTCAGATGAACTTTTCGATTCCCAAGTAATTAACTTAGCTATTTCGGGTCGTTTAAGAAGCTGATAAATATCCAAACTTTCACCTTGTTCAATTCCATAGCCCAATTTAAGGCCGTGAGGGTTGGACGGAGTTTTACAATCAAGATAAACCTCTTTACGAAGCACAGTGTCGATATCGATGGAGCTGAAGAAAGCAACTGATTGAGGTAAATCGTACATTCCCATTCTCGAGGCAAACATTGATCGCGTGAACAGATTAGTTACTTGAAGTGCAAGTGCCGCTTTATAACAATCGGCATCTTTGACCATGTATCTGACCTCATCGTGGATGGATAAACAAAATCTACCATCGATATTGAACTCATCTAGAAGCCATTTCATGTTTACCAGCATCAGATGAAGATAATCAACCGCTGAACTTTGAACAACCCAATTAACTACACTTGGTACAAATGATTGTCGAACCTCAATCGGTAGTAGCGCTGTACTTATCTTACAGTTTAAAACGGGAGTACAGGGTTCGGGTGAGAGGGCAATTGTTTCTAATTTGTTGAACATTTGAGATTCACTTCCACCTTTCCACTCTTTCCGTATGAACCGTTTCTCCGTATCGGTAACGTTAACTCGTGTACCTTTCGTTTGTTTGTAAATTTTGATCGCTTTTGTTTTCGCTTCATCATCAGTGAGATTTTCATTTGATTGCTTCAAAAATCGGGCTGCAAATGCTTTACCCGCTCCATAAATGCGACCATAATTAAGCACTTTAGCTTGATCACGATTAATTCCAACCATTTCTGCCACTTTCGAGTGCATATCAGTTTTGGTTGCTTTGCTTCCCTGTAAGGTCATCCAACCGATCGGAGTTGAACCATGAATTTTGGCAAAATGAGAGTCACCAATTAACGAGGCAATCCAAAGCTCTTGCGAGTCAACATCAGCGCCAACCAATTTATATCCTTTGGGTACTTGAATCATTGCTTTTAATTCACTTCCCAATCGGTCTGAAACGGCATTTGATGCGGTTAACCAAGTTGGTTCAACAGCTCTTCGAGTTATTGTTCCCGCCACAATTACTCGAGGCAATAAAGCTCCAACATAACCCGATGAATCAATTGGAACCACTAGTTGTGAATAGATCCGTTTATTTGAATTCTTCCAATATGAAAGCGTTTTACTAATCTGTAGAAATGATTGAGCTTGAGTTTTCTTAAGGAATGTTGATAAAGTTCCATCATCAAGATACCTAAGGAATTCCTAAAGATAATCAGAGAAAAAAAGGAAAAAAAGTTAATCGGTTAATCGTTTAATCGTTTCACATGGATTATTGTCATTTGATATTCTTACCTTTCCCAATGGATTTCCCACTTTATTGTCGGGGCCACTTTTATGTGGAAGTCGATAAAATTTACAACCGAACATCTTAATAGCAGAATGTTCATTATCATCTTCTTCGAGACTTATATTCTCATCGAATAACTCATGATCCATCCAATCGGGATCAGCCGTTTTCAATTGTAATCTTTTATCATCTTTTCGTTGTCTCTCTTGTTGGGTAATGTTCACAATTTTGAGATATTCTTCCAAGGGAAATTCACCAGAAGAATTGGTATTTGACCACGAATCGGGCACAAGGTAACCCCATTTATGTGTATCATCGTAATGAAGAGGATAACCTTTCCAAAGCATTCGTAACAATTTAGGTGATGTTCTCATTGATGTACTAATCAGGGAAGGTCCAGGTTGCCATTTTAATAGTTTCTCATCACTTCGTAGTTTAGAACCACCAAATGGATGGTCACATAGATCTCGATACCAAGCAGGGTAACCAGGGAGAAGAGGTTGAACTTTGGATATTAAATTTTCTGTGGTTAAAATTTTATCAATGGTACTTTGAGTTTCGCTGATTGTAGTATCATTCTCAACTTTTTCAATCTCTACTTTGCTGTTGACATTTTTTCCATTCTTTTTTGGTTTAGACGATTTTTTGGCATTCAACTTCTTAATCTTTTCCTTATTGAATCGTAATTCTTGCGTTGACCAATCTAAATCCCAAAGCCATGGATCATTGGAATAACTTTTATCTTTCGATAGAGAACAGGCTTGATTAGCAAGAGATTGAAGGCATAAATGAACTTCTCTCTCTAAATCATTGTAAACACTTTGAGCTTCCTCTAGATATCGCTCCCAATTGGGTATATTCACCGGTAGATACATGGTTGACATTTCCAACATTCCAGCTAAAGTAACCGGATGAGGAAATCGATTAAGATATTGAGACCAAATCGATCGGAAAACTTCATGTGTTGCGATCACATCACCAGCACAATAGGTGACTAATTCTTGGAAATTTTCTCGAACATCGGAAAGTGAACCTTTCACAAAGATATCTCGCTCTTCTTTACTCATCTCTTTCTTACAATGAAAAGCATAAACATCTTTAAGACTATTCAATGAGCCAAGTTCTTGCCATCCACCGGGATCAGGGTGACCAGCGTTCTCAAATTTGGATTTCAACGATAAATCATTCATTCCATTCTTTTTGCCCACCTTGTAGGAAAAGGATAAAGCTCGTTGATATCCGGTTAATCCTGATAAACTGATATGAAGGCTCATTGTATCAAGGAAACGGGTCTTATCACAATCGATTAAATTTTGATCTTTTATGTAGGATCTATCAAAGGAAACATTGTGGCCAATGATTAATCGCTCACAACTGGCGTAACTACCCATGGTTATCATTTCATTGAGTTTTAATTGTTGCTGATTGGTTTGATATTTAACTGATAGATTATCTAATTCAGTTGTTTCATTGATCAACCTTGGACTACACCATGAGTACCAAGCATCAGGTGAGGCACAAGCAGCTAAAGTTGGTTGTTTACCTGATCCATCATTCATACAAACTTCAACATCGAAAATTAATACTTTCTCATCGGGATAATCAACTTTCGATTTAATCATTTGGCCATAATTATCAATCACATAACGAGTCCAACCTTGAGTGTAACTCCATTTATCTGGTAATTGGGGTAAAGGTTTGGAGACAATTTCATCGGCTAACGATTTGTAAGCCGATGAATATTTTTCACCAATTGATTGGAAATGTTCCTCTATATTGTTACCAACCAAATTAGGTAATTTAAATTCAATGGAAGGAGCTGGATCAGAAGGATACATTGGACCATCTTCCACTGTTGATTTACTAATTACATTTTTCTAGAGAAGAAAAAAAAGAGATAGAGATACAAAGGAATAACTGGATTAGCGGGAAACCAATTGTGTAACCAGAAGATTAAAGAGAAATCTATCAATTTCTCTTTGTTTTAGATAATCAACCAACCTTTTTCTTTGATAATCTCCATAAACCATGATCAGCAAGACTTGATTTTACTTTGTCAATTGTCTTTCCATCAATTGAACAATTTAATTTATCTCCAAACAATTTATTCCGAAAACATTCTGATATCATTTGAATGTACAACTCATTTCGCCGGACACCAGAACCTCCACCTACTTGAGATGACAGCTGTCTACGAAAAAGCCTCTCCATAGACCAAAGAGTAATATTAATATTAATTAAGAAAAATAAACAATCACAATTAGATAAAAAAAAGATAATCAAAAAATCAGTTAAATCAAAACATCAACAACATGTTGAAGATGAAAATTTTTATTTGAAGCTTTGACAGCGACCTCAGGGGAGGCACCGATGAATTAAGATTCATCGTATCCGGTTGCGACTACCGTACCAAGGGATAGGGAAAACAGGGACAAGGAAGGGAAAAATAATAGAATGCAAAATAATAATAAAATAAATAACAAATTTTTCTCCCCTGAGGTCGAATTACATATTAATTGACAAGTTAAATCACAAATAAATGGACAAAAAGTCCTGTTCGCCTACTCCTAATAAAGGGTTGTTCTCCTCAAAACGTTCTCCTAAAAATATTTTCCTCGGACCAGAGTCCTTTTCAAAATTGTGGCGATTGTCCAAAGGTCCAAAAATTGGTTGGCTCATCAGGTATGACACAAAATAAAACAAGAAAACACATGGTTGCTATGTAATAACGGTTCAGTTTTAAGAGTAACCAAAACAATGTAAGTAACTGGTGAAATATTACAATTTAGGTATCAACCTGATCCTTGTGATTAGCCAAACAACAATAGAACAAAATTAACTTTCAAATTCACAGGTAAATTTAATTAAATTAAAATTTAACAGGCCAGTTTACCAAAACAAACCAAAATGTAAACACATTTGCGAAAACGATTTTACTGCCCTCTGGTGGGAAAAGAAAGAAAAATTTTCTATTTGATTTCAAACTTTCAATTAGTTTTAATAGTTAATTAGTTGATAAAGAGGAATAATTTTTAGAGAATAAAATAAATTTAATCAACTGGTTTCATTCAGAATTGACTTGTTTACCATGGAAAAACTTGAACTAAATCATATCTAGATCAAGATAATTACAATCAAGTTGAATGAGAAAAAAAAATTTCTATTTCAACAATTAGAATCAATTTGAATCTTTTTCAATGTTAAATTAACTTTGATAGAAAATAAAAAACTAATCATAATGATCAGAGTGAAGAGCAATTGATAAATTAAACTAATTACAATTTTTTACCAAACTAAATTGATTAGATAAACAATCAACAATGATCAAGTTATTTTTTGTTACATGAAAACAATTTAAAATGAGATTAATTAATTGAGTAGGAAAAAAATGATCAACTTTTTTATTATAATCATTAATTGGTTATTATTGTAATTAAGCAGCAAGATAATGAACATGATGATGATTAAATTAACATAGATAATTAAATAGATTTATATGATTTATCAAAAACAGAACAAAACAAAAACAGCAACTCAATCAATGGTAACAATTAACAATTGATTTTTGAGAGATTGTGGTTAATTTTAAGGTAGAACAATTGAGTTTAATTGTTGACAATGATTAAGTTGCTAATTAGCTGATGATTTAGCTGATTTAATGGCACATTTAACCGCTTCCTCGAGATCCTCGAAAACCTCAATGTTTTCCTTGCGAGCGATTTCAGATAAATAAGCTCGCCCTCGATTGTAATCATCAATTGCTGCCATTGAAATCTAATTATAATAAAATTTGTGAGAGGAAAATCAATTAGTAACAATTAACACCCACCAAAAGAAATTAATAGACAACAATCAATAGTAATTGTAAATCAATTTGATTACCTGATTATCTTGAGCAACACTTTCCAATGGCATTGGTTGGACACAAAGGACAACTTTGAATTTCTGACCAAAATAATGAGTAGCCTGTTAATTAGTAAATTGTTTAAGATTAGCAGTTTGTTAAATTTTGGTTAATTGTTGGTTAATTTACCAGAATCATAGTTTCCAATTCAGGTCTTTGTCCACCAATTACAAAAAGTAAAACTTGACAACTTTCAAGTTTAGTTAAATCATTTCCCGTTGTATCCCAACGATTAATATTTGGCATGGAATAAGTTAAATTAGATTGGCTGAAAATGAGATAAGGATAATTAGTTAATCAATAATTTACTGGATTTAATTGTAAGCTAACCAGTTACTTGATTGTACCAAATAAGGATCAAATCAAATTAGTTTAACTGTATACATCATCATTGATTGTCATTTGATTTGTCAAAAGTAACGTTGGTTAATTTTTTGTCAACAACAATTAACAGAAACATATGATTTTTTTTAACCACTCAAGATGCAATAATCAAACAATAATAACAACAACAATCAATTGTTACAATTAAAAAATCATATTGAATAAATTACTGGAAATGATTCACAATAATAACTAAATTAAACCTTGAAAGGCGAATCACATTTGATTATTATCAACAGATTTGATTTGAACAACAACAATAATCAACTAAATCACATGAAAAAAAAAACGCCAATCAAAATGATGATCATATAATAGACAATCAATTAATGATAATCAATGGATAGAATAATTAAATCAACAACAATTAAAACCTACTCTATTAAAGGAATGGCAATACTGGACCTCCAGCCTTTTGGATTATCAGATCCACCAAGATAAATATCAGCAGTCTTAATCCTTTGAGAATCAGTTAAATTGTTATTAAGTGAATCCTGTGGATAAGAAAATACAAATTCAAGAAACACAATTAATCAACTAAATCATAGGAAGTAATTAAGAAGTAGGAAAAAAAAAGTAAAGAGTTAACTGTTAATAGGAAATGAGATCAAGGACCCAAAGTGAAAGATATAATTTGCTCAGTTTGTTGACATGATTACGAAAACTATTCAGTAAATGATTAACTAACTAACAGGATGATGTTCATTAATAATCATCATCATCTTCAAGTGCAATTAGTAAATCATAAAGTACAGAATTGCAATGTTTACTTGCAACAATCAACAATCAAAAATAAACAAAAGTTTATAAAAAATCAAATCAACAATAAACAACATCAAGTTTATTAACTGTCATTTATAATTAAAAGTTAATTGTTACACCTTTAATCAATGATATCTAATCATTTTACAACAATATTGTAAATACAAATTCATTTGTAATTATTAGTAACAATTTATAATAAGTTAATCATTCTGGTTCATTGAGCTTTTGTTGATTAAGTTAATTAGTGCTGAGAGGCAATTAAATTTGGATTCTGATTGATTAGTTTTTTTTTTAATTCTTTAATTGTCTCGACAGTTAATTTTAGTAACTATAAACAACAGAAACTATTTATAATTAACTGATCACAGTTAACTAATCATCATCATCATCAACCCATAATCTTAATTGTGATAGTTTTAATCAGCTGAAGCTTTTTAAACGTTACAATTGTTTGATTTCACTTGTTAATTGAAATGCAAATTGTAATTGGCTTAAGGCAATTATAATTGTCACCGTTGTAATAGTTAATCAGTTAATTTATTTAATTAACCATAAAAAATAAATCATATCTCTCAAGGTTGATTGTTTTCTTTTTCTTCTTGATTAGTTGTAATTAAGTTAAATTATCATCTCGTTTTTTGTATTGTTCAGCTAATTGTGGTTAATTAGTTGATTTCTTGTTTATGTTTATACTTTAATCACGTTAATTGTAACAATTAACGGAAAAGATTTATATACATATATGTATATGCTTTCATTTTTTATTAGTATTTAATCATTAATTGTAATCAACACGCTAATAAATATAAATCATTGTGGTGATTAAAAAAAACTGATTGTCTCAAAATAATTAATGATGAAAATTATTTTAACTTTGATTAACAATTTGTCAAGTATTGATTGTGACTGATCACAATCAATCATTAATCCAGATGATGATCATCCGGCAATTAAATGGATCCCATTGAATAATCATCAACAATTAACTAATAAAAGGTAAGATAATTGAAACAATTGATTCTAATCAAGATGCTTGACACAATTAAAATTAATTGAGGACAATTTGAATATCAATTGATGATTAGAATTGCAATTAACTAATGTACATATTGTCAATTAATCAACTCATTATCTGTTTACAATTAAATTATTTCATCTAATTAAAATGATTTCATTGTTATTATCTTCAATCAAAAAAATATCGATTGAAACAATTAAGTCAATCACTTTTGATTAAACAAAACGAAACAAAATCAATTTAAATGTCATAATTGTGATTGTAACAGGCAACAATTAATAATCTCATTATAAACTTTTATGATTTAATTATCATATGGTGTTAGAATGATCAGTTAATTGTTGTGCTAATTTGGGTAGAGACAAATTGATGACAATGTAATTAACTTAAATAATCCAGAGACAAGATAATCTAAGCTCGTTATAAGTTATTAAAAGGGTAAATTGAATGTGCTAATTGTCACCGACTTACCTTTAATTGTTGTGGTTCCCGTTGACTATCAATTTCATCACAATTGTCACACTTATCATCTAATTGAGGGCAATTGACTAGAGAAGTCAAAAAATTAACGGTGGGTGACAAGGTCGGTGAGGTGGTTGGTGGTGGGTTGATGTTTACAAAGTGAGATGAACCCTCAGTTGAATTGGAACTTGATTTGGATAGTAAATTGTTTGATTTTAGATAATCAAGAATTAAGGAGCAAAATTGTTTAAAGTTAATTGTAGTTGTGTCCGAATTGTTGTTATTAAAATGGTGATTGTTATTTAGTTGGTGATGATGATGGTGATGAAGATGATGATGAGTTTGCTGTTTATCATTTGTATCATTAAGGTGTTGATGATGATGAGAATGAGAATGATGATTAAGGTGATGATGATGATGATGATTAGAATGATTTGAATCAATTGATTGTTGTTGATGATTTGGTGTGATTGAGGTAATCAGGTTTGTTGTTGTTGTTGTAGTTGTTGATTGATGTTGATTATGAATATGATTTTGTTGTTGATGAATATGATTATTATGATGTTGATGGTTAAGATTATTATTATTAATTGTAGTATTAAATTGATTAGAAGAATAATTTTCTTTGGTAATGTTATCAGAAGTATTAATTGTTAAATTGTTATTGGTTGTTGGTAAATTTGTTGGTAAGTTAATTTCAATTAGGTTATTGATCAAGTTATCATCCAAATCGTTTCCGGTCAACATTAGGTAAGCTAATTTAGTGTCAAGTAATGATAAACATCCTGTATACATATCGCAACAAGAATCATAAACTTCCTTGACCTTCATCAGTTCATAAGGTGAAAGGATATTGGTAAGTATATGATGAGCAGATAACGGTAATTTATCACCCTGGACATTTGACCCTTGGTCAGTTGAACATGCAACTAAATCTACCTCAACACCACCACCATTATCATCAGTATTGATATTATTATTATTATTGTTATTGTTGTTGTTATTATTATTAACAATATCAATACTTTTACTGTTACAACCTTTAATTTTTGATTTAATTGTTTGATTACGAGAAATCATTATGGGAATATAATTAAGCGCTGCAGGTATTTGATTGAACACTGGCATCCCCTTGCGTTCAACTAATTTCATTAGCAATTTACGTCCACCCTTTAGGATATCATGTTCACTAGAAGGATAAATTAAATGTATAATTAGTTAAATTGTTGTTCCAAAAAGTAGTTAATTGTTACTCTTACTATTGTGATATTGGTTCCCCGTTAATTATTGGCTCTAAACTTGGAAACAAATCGATAACAAGTACTAATTTCTTGGTGGTTGCGGCAATGAAACTAACTTCAATCATGGAAGCAATTGATCGGGTTTGATTATCGATTACGAAAAATAGAACTTGAGAATTCTGTGTTAATTATTATGAAGAAGAAAAAAAGAACAATCAATTTCAATTCAAAATAGAGAATTAATTTCCATCAAATAATCAAAGTTAATAAACGTCAAACAAACTCACAATTTAATCTAATCCTTATTTTATGTGTTTATGTCAATAGAACTACAATAGAATCTTTTTTTTCACTGATTGTTGATTGTTTGTTTTCTTCTTCCTATTAAATTGTTACCTTAATGTTTACAATCAACCGTATAATCTGATATCAAGTGTATTTAATTTAAATTGTTGTTGTTGATTATTGAAGAAAAAGAGTTGACGTTTGTGTTAGAAATAGAGGTTAACTGAAGGGAATTAGTGATTTAGTGTTTTCGTTGTAGTAACATGATGATTCTGAATTTGATTCTGATGATGGAAAAGGATGATGATGATGATGAGAAGTGGAAAAAACTAAGTGACGGGGAAAAAGTGTCTATTCTGGCTAAATGCCTTGAGGAGGTTGAAATAGACACAGAGAGAGAGATAGAGAGGTTAAGATTTTGGTGGTGAAAAAGAAAGAGAAGATAAATTGTAGACAGAGGATGAGAAGATGAAGAAGAAGAAAAAAAAATGAATCGAATGAGGAAAAGATGTTGAATAATTTTGATTGAATTGTTATCATCATCATCAGTAAATTGTTAGTTGATTGTTGTTTTTCTGATCAGGCCTTTCCTCTTTGCTAATATTTACTAATTGATAGATTGACATAAACACAGGAACAGTTTGATTAGTAATTAGTATTTACATTGGATTGAGTTTGACATTAAATTGATTATTTGTAAGAATTAACAGATTAACAGGTAATCAATTAATTGTACTAATTGATTTTTAGATTAACTGATTGCGAACCTTTTTTGCTTTATCCTCTAATTCAATCAACTCAGGTTCCCAATGATCCTTTTGCTGGTTAATTGATCAACGTCGTAATTTAATCAGTGATAACAAGAGAAACATAAATATCCACATTGGTAACAATTAATCAGAATTTAAAGATGATGATTAAGATGAAAACGATGAAGCACCAAAAACGATGGATAATAAGACAATTAGATGGTGATTTTGACATGTAAAAAAAAGAGATGATGATAAATGAATTGAATAAGTTTTACAATTAACGATTAAGATGATTAACTGATAATTACCGGATCATAATAAGTTATATTTAAAGCTTTTAACATCGGTATTGCAATATCTTTCCTCCATGTTGTTGGATTACAAGAACCACCGAGAAAAACAGTTGATTGATTAATTAAGACGTTACCATGAAGACTATTGTTACCTGGTGAACTTGGTAACATTTCACCTGAGGCTAGAAAGTGAGATGGATATTGAGAGAGAGAGAGGAAGATAAATTATTGATTTTACACGTTGATTGTTGATAATTAAATGACGATGATTGAAAACAAATGATGAGGAAGAGATGAAAAGGAAAAACAAGAAGCAGAAAAAAAATCAACTGTTGAAAACCGGTGAGAAGGTAAAGTAGAAAACGATGAGGATGGAAAACTGTTTTTTCTTCTTCTTCTCTTCTCTTTCTTTTCTTTCTTTTTTACTTAAATGTTCATCTTTTCATCTTCATCTCCAGGAAGAAAATAAGATTGATAAATAGACAGTAAAAGAGAGGAAGAAAGAGAGAAAGAGAGAGAAAGATGATGAGATGATGAGGAAGATGATGAAGAGAGAGAGAAAAAATTTTGTAGGAAAAAAGTGTAAGAACCAATGACAAGTATATGGATCGAGCTCTAACCACTGATGCAGTTTTGTTGATGGTTTGGAAGAGAAAGAAAGAGAAGATGGAAGAGAAGAGAGAGAGAGAGAAGGTTGCTTAGGTGATAAAAAGGAAGATGGAGAAAAAAGAAAGAGAAAAAGAAAGAGAAAGAGAAGAGAAAAAAAAATGAGAAGAAGTTGAGCAAGAATATGAAGAGCAGAATCACAAGTTCCAACGTTAACTCAACATAGTTGAAATTTATTCTCATCTTTGTTTCTCTTCCTCATCAACAGAATCATCATCATCCTGATGATGATGATAAAAGAAAGAGGAAAAAAAAAGAAAGAGAAATGATGATGAAAACTTTTTTCCAATCAATTCTATTAATATCATCATGTATCTTTCGGCTCGATATCTTTTTCCCCCTGAAATTTTGATTGATTGTAAGACGAAGGTGATTTAATCTGATTGCTGATGATTAATATCACTTTGGACACATAAATTTTATTCATTGATATTATGCTGATTGGGAAATAAAGTTAATATTTTAATCAACTTACCTTTTGTTGTTATTGTTGATTGATCATCAGCTGATTGTTTTCTGGTTGACAGTTTGAGATAAGTATCAACATGTTGTTGTTTAGGTCGTTTTGAATTAATCGTTGATTTAATTGCTGATAAAGGTTTTAATTGATGAATTTTCCATGATGATTTACTAATCATTATTATCTCATTGTATGATTGTTGGTTGTCAGTTAATGATTGGGTTAATTGTAATGATTCAAAACTTTCAATCACTGGTAAAACTGGTGATGCAAATAACAAAACGATATTGATCATCACTTGGGTAATTACTTTAACGAAAGTTAAGTTAATCAACATTTGTACCATTGACAATTTAATCATTTTGATTGTTTGTGTTTTAAATTGTCACAATTTAAAATAATTGAAACATACAACAAGTTTCAATTTGATTGTTTATTGGTTAACAAATTAACTGGTTCACAATAAAATGTTTAATGAGTTGATCATTTGTTGATTAATTTGATATTTAAATGAAACAGGTAAATTAATTTTAATGTTCATCTTTGTGGTTAATTAGGAAAAAATTGGGAATTTAATTGGTTTGATGAGTAGGTTTGAAGTGAACAATTAACTTGAACAATTAACTATTTGTGAGTGTGTTCAATTGTTGTCAACACTAATTAACTAATGAGAGGAAGAGGAGGAGAGAGTGACAAGTTAATCAAACAACTAAATTAATCGGGAGCAATTAAGTGAGAGAGAGAGAGAGATTAATTTAATGAGTGAGTTGATTATCATCTTAATCAACAGCATGTTAATCAGTTGATTGCAATAATCACCATGATTAACATGATTGATAAATTGTTTTCTCACAAAATAATTACAACTGTTGAAATTGTTAAATTGAATCAGATGATGACCTTCTTGATTATAATCAATTAGAAGGACAAATTAACCAGTGGTGACAATCACAATTAACAATAATCAGTGTAACAATTGATTGCTTATTGTTTCAATTGTTTCTTCAATTGATCATCTTTTTTTGATCGTTAATTATCACGTTTAATTGATTAATCAATTGGACTTCAACATAAAGTTTGTAATTAAATTTAATCAACAACAAAAGGTAATAAGGTAGTTAATTGTTATTAATAGATTTTCTTACTTAATTAAATACCTAATGATTCTTATTATTATCTAATCAATAATGATTAAGGCTATTAACCATTGGCAATTAGCTTAATTGTTGATCACACTTATTGGGCAATCAATTAAAATGTTCTTGGTAAATTATTATTACAAAAGGATTTAGGATTGTTAATTGTAATCTAAATCATTAGATAAACTGTGAAAGTACAATCAGTATAATTTTACTGATTCATGATGAGAAAAAAATGACAATTAAATCAATAGTCAACAATAGGATCAAATTGATTGTCTTGGATTATAATTAATCGATATCTGATTCAATCTAATGATATTTAATTAGATTGCTCGTTGAAGATGACATAAGTTGATTCGTTTTAATAATTTAATTGAATTTAATGAGCAGTGGAAAAAAAGTTAAATTGTTTCACGAGTTAATAATTAATCATTGGATTGATTGGAGAGCCTTGAAAATCCGATGAGTTTCAAAGTCTTGAATGAGTTTGAAAATCAAGAAAAGTTTACGAGTCCGAATCGAGGCAAAAAGTGTCTACAACACCGGGGGTTCCCAAGTGGTCTCCCTCCCAAGTACTAACCCGGCCCGAAGCTGCTTAACTTCGGAGATCGGACGGGATCCGGTGCTTTCAGCTTGGTATGGTCGTAGACGAGAGAGATGATGATAAGTCAGTATTTAAACCTTTCTATCGATAGATGAGCCTAAGGACCGAAATTTGTATCACCAGTAGTTTTAGTTATAAAAGAAGAGAAAAACTATTTTTTAACAATAGTGAGGAATTGGAAGCAAATTTTTAACGTGACTGATTAAATTCTGTCAATTAACTAATTGTTTGTTAGGAACAGAGATCTAAATTGATTTCCATGATATAACATCTCTTATTTCAGCTATCAAAGTGAAAGTAAAGAGTATAACCTTTGATTAAATCAAATCAAAGTACAACAGTTAATCATCACTTTATGTGCTGATCAAATTAAGAAATTAATTAGAAAACAGAGCCATCTCTTGGTGAGAAAATAGACTAACCGAAAGTTTTATTAACATTGATGAACGAAGTAAATTGTAAGAAACTAAATTTAATTGTCCTGCTTTTAAAAGAGAGAGAGATTATAGTAAACCCAAACGAAAAAGAAACATTCAATGTGAACCAGTCGATTTTGACCAAAACTGTTCTAGCTTTGGGTCGTTCTCAATATTGGACCATTTCGATTTCGAGACTGAACCGCCTCTGGTGCTGCCATCGATCGACCATCTAAACCACTGACTTAAACTTGAGAGTTAAGATCTGTAATTAGCGCCCTCTGAGCGAAGTGATTCTAATCTTCTCTTAATTGATAAGGTAAGAGAGATTAATTTTCTTTAATTGTTTGGCTTCGACTCAACAATCACCTCAAAGATCATCAATTGGAATTTACTGAAATTGAAATTCTATCGATCAGAGTTTCTTAGTATTTTTTTGTCGCTGGACAAATAGAATAGAAAAGTGAACGTATAAACAGAAAGAGGAAAAGAAAGAGGAGAAGATGATGAAGATGAAGATGATAAGTTGTATTACAAGTCCGCCCATGGACAAGCCTTAATAGCGTAATGTGAGTGTCCCTTGGAAAGTTTGGTTCTGCCAAGTGAAAGTTTCGTTCTAAGGACTCATCTCGTTTTCTTCGGATTCCCATTGAATCTTCCTTATAAAACCAATTGAATTTCGAGTAACCAGTTTCATTTAGACTTTGTCTTTAATTGTGATAACATTAAAATTTCTGTGAAATTGTGATACACCAACAACAATTAACCCAAACTTAATTCGTTAATTGTGCCAATTCTTCAATTCGACCAAACAACAATTTAAATCCAAGTCAAGTTCCAATTTTACAAAATGAAAGTTTTACATTCGGTAAGAAAAATAATCATCACAATTAATCATCTAAATTAATTTTCTTCTTGTTTTCCTATAAAGTTGAATTGGTCAACAATTTGTCCACTTTCTCTCTCTTGTGTTTGTGTTTTCTTCATCTAATTTGTCCATTAATTATTCTTGTTAATTGTTATCCAGATTATCCTCTTATTATCCCTAATCGGGTTATCATTAACCCAGGAATATGTGACCTCTGACCCTTCATCGTATCAATTCAATTATACTACAAGTGATTCTGATGCAAACAAGGTGTCCAAGGAAGAGCAAGGGTCAGCCAATGGTCAAGTTAACGGTAAATATGGTTACGCTGATAAATTAAATGAGTGTTACTTTCAACCGGATGGACGTTACTATCAACCAGGATCATCTTGGCATCCATATTTACCACCATTCGGTATCAATAAGTGTAGTCTTTGTACCTGTCAGGTAATTTTAGTGAAATGATTGGAAACAAAAACCTTCAATTAACTAATTGTTTATGTCCAATTTTTCATCTAGAATATAACTTTAAAGGTAACATGTCGGCGACATTTCACTTGTCCACCTTTGGCCTGTGACCCTGAACAATCAGTTCGTGAGCATCCAACTGATTGTTGTAAAAAGTGCCCAGGTAAGCAATTAAATGAAATGTTAGCAATTGTAATGCAAATTGATTGATTAACTAATTGTTTTCTTTTTAATTTTCTCTCTGGAATCGTCAAGATTCAATTCAAGTGAAATCTTTGGACGGCGCTTTTGCTTCAGATGATGGGACAAATTTAGCCGATTCTAATCTGGACACTCAGACAACCGGAGGTAAGTCAAAGAGATTAAACCAATGATTAGATTTAATTGTCACAAAAAAAGTTTGATAATAATCAAAAAAAAAATAGAAAAAGTTTCTCATAGAAAAGCAAAAGCAAAATGTTAACCAGTAAAATCCCATAGACCATGAAAATGATAAGAAAAATCTCACCAATATTTATTGTTATTATCTACTGGTCATCATAATCATGATGGTCATAAAGTTAAAGCAAAAGTCTTGACCCATAACCAAACAAACAGTTTTTAATGTTATATTGGTCAGTTTTGTTGTTTAGAGACAAAATTCTTATAGTGAAAGTACTGACCATCGATAGCAAAACAACAACAACAAACTAAATGGTGGCGAAGAAGCAAAAAGTTTCTTGGTCGCCCATGTTTCTTATCTTGACCTCAGGTCACCAAGTCGCGACATCGAGACATATCAATTGCCGTACTTAAGTTAATTATCTTGTGAAAGTTAATTATATATACTGACCAAAATTCAAGCCAATCATCTGATGATAATCTCTACCTTTTCCTTTTCTCTTTCTACTGACCACTTAGTCTGTGTCCTCCTTGGGCGTCTCTATCCCAATGGTCATCGATGGCATCCACACGTTACCCCTTTTGGTGAGATTAGATGTGTAAAGTGTGTTTGTAAGGTAAGAAATTAGTTAATTGTTGATTTATCTTCAAGTTTCTCTTTTATTACAAAATCTAATTGCTCTTAATTATCTTTACAATTGGTCAACAGAATGGGTCAATTAAATGTAACCGATTGAAATGTCCAAGGGGCAAATGTACAAACTCACCAATGATGAAAAAGTGTTGTCCTAATTGTGGAGATGATCAAAAATCAATCAACGATTAAGTTGATTAACTTTTTTTTTCTATATATAAATTATATTGAATTTTGTAAATTAATCATTTATCTCTTTTTCTTTACCCAATCAATAATTAGTTAATTGTTGATTCGACTTTCATTTGTTTAACTTTTTCCTTCAACTTTTTCTCAACTCTTTTTTTTCAATAATTTATATTATTATTCAATTTAATTGTCTATTTATTAATTTAATTGCAATTCTAGTTGGTCAACAATCAATTATTTCAATTAACAACTAATAATTGTAATCAACTTGTCAAAATCATCATCATCATCATCATCATGTAAATAATAAAAACATCAAATCAAGACAATTGTATAAAAATCAAAACAAATTTAATAAATTGTAAACAATTAGCTTAATCATTTGAAATCAGTTTCATTTTTTTCCTGTTTTTTTTAATCACAATGACGTTAACAATTAACTGATCAATTAAAATCCTAAAACTTTTAATCAAATGATAATATTAACAATAGTAATCAAATTGATCAACCATATTGTTTACTTCAACTTTCACAATTAACTGATTGTGATTTGTTACCGGATTTTCAATTGAATGAATTAAAATCAATTTCACTAATTTTGAACAATCATCCCTCCGCCCCAACAATTATCAGATAATCAACTTAATCACAATTTGGCATCAATATTAAATTTTTAACCTTTACCAATGTGTACAATCAATAAGAGACGAGATATTAATCAGTTAATTGTAACAATCAAGAGATTTTGAGTTCATTGCCACCTTCATAAATATAAAAGTAAATATTAACAGTTAACAATTAACTGATTTCTTTTCAACAAACCACAATTAGAACATAAGAGAAAGTAAAAAAGAAACGATTTAATTGTAACAATTTAAATTCTGCCAAAGAAAAATTTCCTTCCATCTCTTAATTGTTACTCGATTTACCGAGTCACTTTTCCCATAATAATTTATAAGCAAATTGTATTAGTTGATTGTTGCTAATTCTGTTCTTCTCCCAATCAACGAAAGTTAATCACAATCAACGAACATAATCAAATTAAACAAACATACAGTAGCAATAAATTGTTAATCATAAACAATTGATCTGTCAGTTATCTAATAACATGTATGTACTTATGAAGATGAAGTGGATTGTGTTTAATTAATTGTTATTATTATACTTGAACAATTAACAATATCAAGTTGTTTTTAATCAATTTATATTATGTTCCATGGGATAGGAATTAACTTTAACCATTTCAAGTGAATTAATCGTTGAATTAATATAATTCATTTGATTCCGTTTTTCTTAACGTTTTGTCTTACCTTTTGTTTTAATTAATGTCGCCAACATGTTGATTGACATTGATGATATTTAATGATAATAATTATGATGATGATGATTGTTAATTGTTGTACATTTCAATTGGTAATAAGGTTAGTTGCTTAAGTGGATAATTAAGATAATTAATTGTTTTTAAATGGAAAGACAGAAAATACCTTTCATTTTATGCAAAAAAAAAACGTTGATGCTTTTATTTGATGTTTTTAATTGTTATTATATTAATTATGTTTGTTTGTTATTCTCGTATGATAAATGATTTAATTATTTGATTTAATGATAATTAGGGTGATGATGAGGATGATGAGGATGACGTAGATAATGGTGATGATAATGTTGTTGTTTACCGATGATTAGGGTTGATTTGTTTTTTTTTAATCGTTTGTCATTTGTTGTTAATTGTTGTTGTAAATACTGGAAATTAAATCATGTTTTGTTTTATGATTATCACCAATCAAAGCTTATTGATTGGTTTTATTAATCGTTGTGTATATTTATATATTTATAATTGTAGTTTTTTTTGGATAATAATAATTATAAGTGTACCTTTTGTTAATTTCCTCATGATGATAATAATAATGATGAGAATGATGATGATGATGATATAACCATTGTCAGGCTATATGATATTATTAACAGAACAATCTAAATGTTGAAAGAGGGATAAACAGAGGAAAGAAATGAAGAGAAAAGATAATCAGGGACGAAGATGATAAAGAAGATAATTGCTTGGATGAGGATTGGCGCCAATGGTTTAAGTCATTTTAATTATTCTGCTGAGCCAACAAGTGCTTCGTCCATCAAATCATCATCAATCAAATAAGGTGATCGTCGAGAGGCGAGACTGGATATCGATTGATTAGATGGTGACTCTGAGATTAGATTACTAGATGAATTAGATGGCGGCGGATTACAGATACTATTCAGATTATTTCCAGAGGTATTTGTAGTGGTATTGGCGGTGGAGGCAGTGGTTGTGGTGGTGTTTGAAGTGGTGCCTGAGGTTGGATTGTTATTGTCTTCAGTATTGCAGCTGGTGACACTATTACTGTTAGCCGAGTCAGAGGGATCGTTTGAAGAGGATCCAGGTAAATTTGGACTATTTCTTGAACTGTTTCCGGTTACAGTTGCCGTTTCAACAATTGGATTATCATTTATGTTGGATATTTGTGTAGGTGGGGGTGGGGGTGGTGGAGGTGTTGACTGTTGTTGTTGTTGTTGTTGTTGTCCCTGAGTTTGTGGAGATGATGAAGATAAGGGAGATGTGGGAGCTTTGTTGGATGAAGACAAGACGTTGTTAGTTGTTGATTTATCTTGAATTGTCTCACTGGTTAAGGTGCTTGGTGTAACTGTTGCTGAATTGGTGGCTGAGCCAACGATAGAACTTGGATTACTGGATGTAGAGGATGATACACCTTTCTCATCTTTCTTCGATGATGGAGCTGTTGCAGTTCCTGCAAAATCTATGATTAACCCTTCCTCGTCTTCGTCGTCATCGTAATCATCATCAATTAAGCTTATTGAGGAGCTTTGAGGTTCACTGGTAACGGGTGCTTGTGAGTTACTGACAGTTGACACATTTGGTAAAGATGATGTGGAGGATGAAGTTGCTGTTGGAACAGTGGTGGTAACTGTTGATGTACTATAGCTTTCATTAGGTGTTGAAACTCTTGAATTTGCTGTTGTTGTAGAGGCGATTGTTTCTTTCGGGGAGTTTGAAGGTTCTCGTTCAACCTCTTCTATTGATTCAGTTGGGATTAGAAGTGGTGGATTTTGTAGAGCATCGGTGAACATTGAGCTCTCCGCTGGTGAACTTGGTGTACTGGTAGTGGTTAACTTGGAATCACTGGAGCTACTCACTCCACTTAATCGATCGCGATTATTTGAAACAATCTCACTTGATCCAGTGACTTTTGCTTCGTTATCAACGAAACTACTTGTTACACCTGAACTTTTGGAAGCAATTGAATTGCTTGCAGATACAAAGTTTGTAGGGAAATTGGAACTTGCAATGGATGGATTAGATGTTGAAAGTGACTGTTGTTGATTGATTGGATTACTGTTGCTGTTGATAAGACCATTATTTGAATGGGTTGGTTGGACTGATGATGAAGATGCACTGGTGGTTGTTGACAGGGAAGATGCTGATGAGAGACTTGATGAGATTGTACATGATTGAAATTTTGTCGAATGATCGAGTTTGTCACTGGTTGATGATAAAGATGAACTAGCAAGAGAATCTCGAGTTCCATAGAATGATTTTTTAGGGAAACCCATCGAAGCAGAAGTTGGTTGTTGTTGTTGTTGTTGTTGTTGCTGTTGGTGCTGCTGGTGTTGGTGTTGATAGGGATGTTGATGGGGATGTTGTTGGTGTGCGTGTTGTTGATGTTGATGTTGATTTTGATTTTGATGTGAATGTTGATGAGCATGAGGATGGGGATGGGGATGCTGTGAGTGCTGTTGTTGTTGTTGTTGTTGCTGCTGCTGCTGCTGGTGATGTTGTTGATAATGTTGGTGTTGATGTTGGTGCTGTTGATATTGTGGGTGATATTGAGAATGTTGTGGCGGTTGGTTACCAGCACCAGAGTTGAAGTTTGATGAAGACGAGGGCGGCACAGATTGATTTGATGAAGGCCCATGTCCACTAGGTCCGGTCATTGGTATATTATTACTAGACATTGGATTGGCATTGGAGTTACCTGATACGTTGTTAGTGTTACTACTTGAACCAACTCCTGAAGATGTTGAATCTTTTGAATTGAAATTATTATTGGGATTATTAGCAAAACCGCCGGTTGCAGAGTTATTGTTATTACCATTATTGGAATTTGAATAACTATTTGAATTATTGGAAGTGTTACTATTATTAGTATTATTGTTGTTATTGGTATTGGTATTATTCACATTTCCAGAGCTATTATTATTATCATTTTTATTATTGTTCACTTGTTGCTGACTATTTGCAATTCTCGGGATTTTGGGTAACTGTGCAATGTTCATTCGTGGTATGGCAGCGTCAATCATGGCCTCTGTGGATTGAACTTTAGCTTTGTTAGCTGAATTGGAAGATGAAACTTTACCAGCAACTGAACGATTATAGAGGGAAGATGCTTTAGGTGATGAGTTAGATGTTCCTGGTTTGGGTGAGTTAAGTGAACCCGATGAACTAGATACCAGAGTTGAACCTTTAAAATTGGTGCCTGATTTGTTTGGTCCACCCAATTGTCGCTTTAAACCGGGTGTTACTCCTTTCGTTGATTTTAATGAATTAGTTGTCGATGTGGCGGATCCTTTGATACTTGATGAACCAGGCAAAATGTGTTTCTTTGATTTGAATTCAGGCATCGTTGATGAAGGTTTGGTTTTGGTAACTGTAAATTTTAATGTGTTTCCGGAAATCGGCTTCATTGTGAATTGATCAGAACTACGACTGTACTTAACTTTACTCTCAGCTATTTTGTTAATTGAACTTGATGAGACTGCATTTGCATTCAAGCGACCAGGTCCTCCGACGTTTCCACTGCTTGAATCTGGTCGATTAGGACAGTTTTCCAATTTAATTGGTGTACCATCAGCTGAAAGTGATCCTTGACCACCTTCACCGGGAACACTATTGGTACTTCTCAATTTATCGATAACAGCACTTAATGAACCTTGTCGACGTTTTTGAGCGATTAGTGACTTAGCATTTGATTGAGATTTAGCGGATACACCTCCGGATGATGTCGGTGCTGAGGATGATAAACATGAAGATGAAGATGAGACTGGGGGACTTGCTGATGAGTTAGAAGCACTTTTGGAGATGGTTATACCTGAATTTGGTGCTGATGCGTTTTGTGGGGATCGGTACTTCAAGCCTGGTTTAAGTCTACCAGATGAATCTGCTCCTCCTTTGACTATTCTGCCTGCTTTAGATGAACCAACTTTAGGTGATGATTTAGGTGAGTAGGATGTTGCTGATCCATTGTTTTCTAGGTCACTTAATTTGGGAGACGCTCCTTTATTAATTTTATTCAACAATCTTTCACCAATCTTAGTCTTATTAATATTTGCACCAAGAGTTCCAGCCTTTTTAACCTTTATCGATGGGCCATTGGTTGAATTTACACCGGTTAAGTTTGGTTTAACATTAAGTGTCAACGGAGGCAGAGATTGATTTGTGCCACCGTTTGTGACAACGTCCATAAAACTGTATGCACCGCCTCCTCCTCCACCAGTGGCTGCAACTTCACCAGAAGTCATGATCATTGGCGGAGGCATGAGGACACCAGCCACTGCCGCAGTTGAGGAAACTACGACGGCTTTACTTATGCTGTCAACACTTTCAGCTCGCTTCCGTTTTCGCTCTTTCTTTATGGCGATTTCCTCTTCGATTGATCCACCACCAAAGTTTCCTCGTTTACCTGTCATTCCTGGACCATCAACACCAGCAGAAGAGCACCGACGTCCATCACCAGCGGTTCCATTGGTTCCTCCTCCTACTCCACCACCACCGTTACCTTTTGGACCTCTTTTGTTCATTGGGACAGTAAATTGTTTATTTGAATTGTTTGGTCCAGTAGGTTGTCCATCAGGTAAATTCATGTTATGAATTTCCTGAAGTGATTTGATCAACGCTTGTTGCTCATTACTCCCATCTTCACTTAGACCAGATAAAGAGTTACTATTTTCATTGCAATTTTCAGCGCTTCGGTTTCTTTTAGGTCCACGTTTGTTGTTAGGCTTCATTGGAGGTAGAGACATTGGATTAGCAAAGTCGGTGTAATCAAAGTTAGAAAAATCATTCAAGTCAGCTGATAAATTAGATCCTGAGCCCGGTCCTGGTCCGGGTCCCGGACCGGGCCCAGGGCCAGGGCCCGGGCCTGGGCCTGGACCTGGACCTGGACCTGGGCTTTGTCCGGTATTGGCCCCTGGAAAGGACATCGAGGAGTTTGGGTACTGAAAATTGTTGCTGAAATCAGCAGTAAAGTCACTCAAGTTTAAATTTTGTGAACCATTAAAGTTACTGTTCGGTGTACCAGGTTCTGTTTTAGGTCCCGCTAGCATAGACTCAAGCGATCGGGGAGCATTGGAAAAATTTACATCGTAACCTGAAGCATTTGGATTACCACCTCCTCCTCCTCCACCACCCAGAGGATCAGAAGAAGATGGACGTTGTGTCGGACAGTTAATCATCTGGGGATCCCCAAAATTTTCCATGAAATCATTTACTGGGGTAGTTATATCTCTCATAAAATCTTCCTCACTCGCTTTACGCTTAGGACTACGACCTGTTGCACTTCCCGGACTTTTTACATCGCCAGTACCTTTTCTTTTACGTTGCTGTTTTGGTTTAACACCAGGTTGTTGTTGCTGTTGATTCATTTGGGGTAAAACTCCTGCAACATTACTGCCTCCAACTACTTGTTGACCAACAACTTGTGGTCCTTGTTGACAGTTTTGCTGTGACTGATTGTACATATTAAATGTTTCTTTACGCGAATTAGCTGCTGGTACATCACTTAACATGTTCAATAACATTGCATTCGGTTTCTGTTGAGATTGCATTAAGTTTCTTTGTTGGTTTGGGTTCATTCCTCTCATTTGTTGTTGTTGATGAAATTGTTGCCCTTTTCCTTGTATTGGCCCTTGTAAATTGTCTAATAAGAGTGAGAAAAGATATTGATATAATAATTAATAAAGCGATTTTAGCAGAGAGACTAAAGATGATAATTTAATCAAATAAATGAAAGAAACTAAAATGCAATCGGTTGCTTTAGAAGCATTTAATTGGGATCAACTTAAGCCAAAAATGTTAATGGGGCAAGAGATTAACGATTATTAGGGTTTGTATTATTTAATAATAGTAAAAGAAACAATTTGAATCTATCAGAACAGGAGAGAGACTAATTGATAACCAAAGATGCACGAATCGGTATCATTTTCAACAATCTTCCAAACTTACTTGTGGGTCTATTACTCTGGTTCTGCAATTGTTGCTGATAAGGAATTTGATTCATTTGTGGATTCATTTGTTGATTCATTTGTTGATTCATTTGAGGATTCATTTGTTGATTAATGGGTTGGTTCATTTGTTGATTCATTTGTGAATTTATCTGTGAATTCATCTGAGGATTCATCTGAGGATTCATCTGGGGATTCATCTGCGGGTTCATTTGGGGATTCATTTGTTGTGGATGAAGTTGTTGCTGCATTTGTCCAGTTAGTTGTTGCTGTTGGACAGGTTGTTGTCCTTGTTGATTTTGGTAATTCATGTAAGGTCCATTTTGATTTGATCCTAAGAATAGCAAATAAAAAATTGATTAGAATTCTCATATTTAATTCTAATAATGAATAAAATTGACCAACTCACCCAAAGGTAAATTCATAGGCCTCGTCGGGCCTTGTTGTAATCCTTGATTGTTGAAAGTATTAGCATTATACATATTATTATTTTGAACATTATTCATGAACTGTTGTTGATTTTGTTGATTTTGTTGTGGTTGTTGAAACTGTTGCTGCATTTGTTGTGGGTGATGTTGATGCTGGATTTGTTGCTGTTGCTGTTGCATGTACTGTTGTTGCTGCTGCTGATGCTGCTGTTGCCTATGCTGGTGCTGTTGCTGTTGTTGCATCTGAATCTGAAGATGTTGCTGCTGCTGTAAACCTTGATGTTGCATTTGTTGCTGCTGTTGATTTGGGCGAAATTGTTGATTTTGTTGAATTTGGGGCTGCTGAAATTGTAACTGTTGTTGATGTTGTTGCTGAGATTGTTGAGATTGTTGAGGTTGCTGTTGGATTTGTTGTTGAGTCTGTAAATGCTGAAGTTGCAACTGTTGTTGTGATTGTTGAGTCTGTTGCTGCATTTGATGCTGTTGTTGTTGTTGAAGCCCCTGATTCTGTTGTTGCTGTTGATGATGAGGTTGTTGAGGTTGTGGTGGTAGTTGTGGTTGTGTTGGCTGGAAAGTTCCATTTTCAAGGGAGACATTCAATTCTTTAAATTGGTTGGAGCTCAATAATTGTTGAGATAAATAAGGTGGTAAATCATCATGGTCAGTTCCATCACCATTGGTGGATAAGTTATTGAAAAATAGATCTTTGGGATTTCTTTGTTGTGTCAATCGAGCTTGTTGTTTTTGTTGCTGTTCTCTAAGAACTGCTGCTTTCTCTTGACATTTTATGATGATCGCTCTCAAAGTAACAGGAATGGAGAAACATTTTTGCATAATTTTAGATGCATATTCATCTGAACATAATGAAGAGAAACTATTTGAATCGTAAAGTTTACATTTTACATTAGTGATATCTCTAAGATCAAATTCTATGGTGGCTAAAGATTCCTCGGTGGGATGTTCAAAAGAAACATTGACAATAGACATTGAAAGAGCAGTTACTTCAAACATAAGTGAATCCATAAGTGATGGTTGTCTAACACGTCGAATACAACTGCAAATGACAGCATTAAACAGAACCTGTTGACGGAGAATAATGAGAATCTGAGGTACAGAAGTTGGATGAGTGAAGGGAATTGAAGAAACTTCAACACCTTTAAGGTCTCCAAGAGTATAGTTCATGTAATAACTATGACATTGGTCAGGCAATTGAACAAAATAAGGCCCATGATAAGACGAGAGATCTCTCATTTCACTGGAAGAAAATAAACTATTAGCAATTAGTTCAACCAGAGGAACACTTCTGGAAACAATTTCAGTAGTAGCAGTTTCTATTCCAGTAATTGCTTGAATTTTACGAAGAGTCTCAAGCGACATTGGTAATTGTTTAGGTAATCGAAGGACAAAACAGGCTGGCAATGTTGAGGAATTAAGATTACTTAAGGCAGCAAATTGAGGTAAACTTTTGCCTTCGGCTGTTTTGGTAACACTGATCAGGGAAACAGTTTGCAGTTTATGAGATGTTGAGCTTTCAATGCAAACAGATGCTGAGTAACCCAACTTTCTTTTAATAACGACTAAAAAAATATAAAAATGAATTTTGAGTTAATTGAGTGAAATTAATAGATAAAAGTAACAATGATAAGGAGAACAAATTTGTTCAAATTCTTACCATCAACCGTGAGTGGAACTGAAGACTTGGTTTTAAGGTCAAGAAGATCATAAGGCGAGATGAAAAAGGTAAGTTTCATAGGATGACCACCTTTTCGAGGCTCTAAGATACCAACAGGCGATTTATGGACCAAATTATTAGGATCATTAATAGAGCTGTAGAAAAGAAAGTTAAAAAGAAAAAGTAAAGGTCAGTTAGATGAAAATAATAGAAAATTGATCTTCATTACCTTTGTAATTGTGCTAACATACTGAGGTCAGTTTCAAGAGCATGTAAAGCAAGATAAGCTTTTGTTTTTTGTTTCTTATCTGCATTTAATTGATAAATAGCTGATAAACCATCAAGATGTTTAGTAAATTCAGTGAAATCTGAATTATTAAGGACATCGGTAATCTCAGGGCAGGAAACAGGATCAGATTGATGAGATATTTTTACTTCTTTAACACGACCATTATCAGGATTAAATTGTATCTCAACATAGAACATATCAGATGAAATGAAAAGCTCTTTACCACTTGGACCTTCTGTATACTTCAAACCAAGTTGACGGGTTATCGCTTCCAATCTTTCCATCATTGATTGAAGAGAAGTAATTTTGATCGACTTTTGAATTATATCCAAACATTTTTGAACCTGATTACGTTCAGTTGTATCATTAACGATAAAATGTCTTTTATCATGTAAAGCACTTCGAACACTTTTAATTAGATCATTCCAATCACCTTTACCTGAAGTAGAAGTGGTTATAGTAGCCATAATTAAAACCTTTCTTCCACTTTTCCTCTCTCTCTCTCTCTATCTTTCTTTCTTCCTCTCTCACTCAACACACAAAACTAGAATGTTTTTATTCACTTTTCTTTATTTTCCGTTTTCGAGAAGGAGAGAATATTTGATCTTCTTTTATCTTTTTCTCTTCTCTTTCTCTTAGCAAATGGTTTCACCGAGTAACCAACACAATTAAGACTATTAACAAGAAGCAATTAAGGTGATGAACAAAAAATTAACAAAACCAAATGACCCAACAAAAAATGGAAAACAAAATTAAATTGTCACAAGAATCTTGTCTATAGAATGAGAGAGAGAGAGAGGGGTTGACATGGGGGAGAAAAAATCTCGTTGCCTAGTAACCGATTCTCTTTTTATTGTGACTGAAACTGCGCCCAAATTGAATTCCGATTTTGGGGTAGAAAAGAAAGAAAAATTTTCTTTAATGTTAATTAATAAGAGAATTAATTTATTGAGTTAGAAGTTGATTAAATTGATTCTCTTTTCTTATTATTTTCTTGTTGATAGCAAATTGTTGCTTTGATTGTTTTTACTTTTTCCATTTGGAAGAATTTAGAATTTATGTCGATTGTGGTGCCATCGAGTAGAATTATTTCTCTTTAGAATTGATTAGGAAAAAAGTCAACTCATTGCTGGAAAATTTAATTCACCGGATTAATAAATTTAATTTCTTTTCTTTGGATTAATTGTGATTGATTATTTTTCTTAATTATGGTGAGTATTTGTATTGATTATCCATGTGTGTTTTTGGTAGAAATCAAGTGATTGGCATATGTTTAGTGGTTTTAGAATCTTAGTTAATTTATTTTGGAAATTGTTTCACTTTTTTTTTCTTATTCTCTTTAGGCTGACAAAGGACCAACTTCAACAGTAAAACCTGCAGCCAGTGTCAAAGAAGCTGCTGGAAGTGAAGAGATTGTTACTTGGCGTGCAAAAGAATCATTACCAATCGATAAGGTTGTTGTTCATCCATTGGTTTTACTCTCGGTGGTTGATCATTTTAATCGAATGGGCAAAATTGGTAATCAAAAGAGAGTCGTTGGTATCCTTTTGGGCGCTATGAAGGGTAAAGGTATTCTCGATGTGTCAAACAGTTTTGCAGGTTAGTTGGCTTGTTTTCTTCTAATTTGATGATCATCGTTTATTTTTCTATCATTTTAACGAATTTGTTGTTTTTATTGTTCCTTTTTCAGTACCTTTTGATGAAGATGACAAGGAGAAAAATGTCTGGTTCTTGGATCATGATTATCTAGAAAATATGTATTCCATGTTCAAAAAGGTAAACACTCGAGAACACATTGTTGGTTGGTATCACACTGGACCTAAATTAAATCCAAATGACATTGAGATAAACGATTTGATCAGGAAATATTGTCCAAATTCAGTTTTGGTTATTGTCGATGCTAAACCAAAGGATCTTGGACTTCCAACCGAGGCTTATTTTGCTGTTGAGGAGGTTCATGATGATGGTACACCTACAAGTAAAACTTTTGAACATGTTTCAAGTGAGATAGGAGCAGAAGAGGCTGAAGAAGTGGGTGTCGAGCACCTTTTACGTGATATTAAAGACACCACATTGGGTACATTGTCTCAACGAGTTAACAATCAGCTACTAGGATTGAAAGGATTATACACTCAACTAAACAGTATCAAACAATACCTTGAATTGGTTGTTGAGGATAAACTACCTCGTAATAATGCAATTATTTACCTTTTACAAGACATTTTCAACCTTTTACCTGATACAATGAGTGAGAACTTTGTCAAATCTGTTTACGTAAAAACAAATGATCAAATGTTGGTCGTTTATTTAGCATCTTTGGTTCGATCGGTTATCGCCTTACACAATTTGATCAACAATAAAATTACCAATCGAGATGCCGAGAAAAAGGAAGGTGCAAAGGATAATAAAAACGGAGAAAAACATAAAACAGAAACAACTACAACTACAAAAGAAGAGGATAAATCAACTGATACAAAGAAAAGTGGATAGATCAAAACCCAAAGCTCCCTGCTAATTATATTAAATTGATGTTCTTTATAAAATTCTGATAACATCTCCTTCTTTTCTCATTTTTTTGGTCAATCGTAAATAAATTGGATTACCAATTAATTAGTAATCAAAGTTTATTTATAATTATATTCTTCAATATATTTATACATGGGATCATCTTCACGATCCTTTTGTTCTTATTCTTCAATTCTCTCCTCAGTGGGTTCACAAGAATTCACCAAGTTTTCTTTAATTGAATTATCATTAGAAATTCCAGCAGATCCAACACAATAAGCGTTTTTAAGCGTTCAATAAGTGGTTTTTTGATCAATTGTTGATGAATTGACTGGATCATAATTAACGTAGGTTGATGTTGAGGTTGTGGAAGTGGAAGAAGTTGTAACAGGAGAAGTAGTTGTATTATCAGAAACAAGTTCATCGGTTGTAATATTTTCGTTTGGACCGTAAAGTGTTTTATGACAAAGTGGACAAACATCTTGAACATATAACCATTTACGAAGACAAAGTTCATGGAAATAGTGATTACATCGAGTTATTCGAGCGCTGCTTAATTCTTGGAAATCTTGGAAACAAATGGGACAAATATCGTCAAGATTATCTAATTGCTTTTGAGTTGCTTCTTTCAGGGTATTTATCTTATGAACAGCGGATCTCCTTCTCATGAATGTTTGCCAACCTGTGAAATATAAGATACAAAATAATTAATATTTAAGGAATCTTTTAATTGTCAGCCTAATGATGGAGAAATCAATTAACTAACCAGCTTTAGCTTGTTGCCAAACGTTGAAATAAGCATGTAGACAAACCATTAGAGCTCTGATAGTTCCGCCTGATTCAAAGACAAGTATCCAAGCTCCATTGATGAATATTAATATGCCGAATAGAAAGTCAATAGTATTTCCAGTTGCCCTTATGTAATAAACATAATCATCAAGCTTTTCCCAAACTGTGGTTCGATAAGAGTCAATCATGAATAAAATGTAGATTAAAAGGGTAGTCACAACCTATGGGAAAAAAATGAAGGTAGAAAAAGGTAATTAGCATCAAAGTGATCAACAGGTTCTAACTGTTCATGCTTAATGAGCATAAATCTTTCAACAATGGAAAGTAAATTTCCAGGTGAGTTGAGGATTCTGATTTTACTGTTTTTTTCTTTACCTTTAACATTATTTCTAATTGGAAAAATGTGACTGCCAGTAGCCATGTTGTTAACGGGTTGTATTTCCATAGGAAATGTAGGAAAAATGATGGGAAAATGAGGAGAAATAGACAGACCAACCAGGCTCTTGAATGTTTCCTAAAATTTTGATTCTTTGACGCACTCAGAGACAAGAGGAAGGGGTGAACCAAATTGTGAATAAAATGAAGTGCTGCACTTATCATAAGGCATAGATTTCGGAAGAGGCGAACAAATCTTTTCTCGGGCTCGAGGCCCGTTATCCCAGTTTGGAAGGCTAGAATTAGGAATAAAATTGCTGATACTGTTCCCATACTTGTATCCTCTGGTTCATTCATTTGGAGAAATGATTGAGTGAAAAGACCTAATTGATTGGCGATAGATGATATAATACTTGTCATTCCAAATAGAGCGACTAAAGTTTCACATCCCTTGACAAGTAATTGTTTCATTAATAAAGAGAAGTAATTTAGATCAAATGGAAATTGATTATCTCCAGGTACATAGTAATATTTGTACGCTGTATCAGCAAGCATTAGTACTGCTTGTTCAGTGAAACGAATAATCCAGAATATCGTTAGAACCTAATAGAAAGAGAGAGAGAGAGAGGAAAAAAAGTTTATCATTAAACCATTTTCTTAGATTCTATTAGATTTTTCCTACATACTTGAGGAACTTGAAGTCGAAACCATTGGGTTTGCATTAATGTGTAAGGTCCATAGCTTCTGATTATATTACGACTCCAACGGACATCACGAATTATTGTATTTAAAAGGTATTTAAGTCGATCGATTAAAAATATAAAAAGATATAGAAGTGCTAGAGAAGCACAAACTTCGGGAATCCAAGTGAGTAAGTCTGGAGGTAGACCTGGAATTATACTCAACATTGGAGGCGCAATGAAACATAGACAGATGAATTTACCAGTTACGAATTGGTGACTTTGGGGTATTGCGAAGAAGAAGAGAACTCCCAGAAAGATCTAAGAAAGCGGGTGAGACAGAGAAAAGAAGACATAATTAATATGAGAAATTGAATTAACGATTGAGATTAATAGAGTTGGTTCGTTAGGAAAAAAGCAGTAAAATAAATGAGAGACAAAGATACAACGGGAAAATGTGTAATCACCTGTAACACATAATTACCCAGAAACCTGGGAAGAGCACTTAAGTTTAAGGAAATTAAATCATAAGCTATATGATTATTGTGATTCTTCACATATCTCATGAACTCTTCATTACAAATGTAAGACCAAACGATGAGGCCAATCGAGGAAAGGTAAAGATAAATGGATATCAGTACACTTGTTGACAGGAGAAACATAGAGAAAGAGATGAAAAATCCTGTTTAGAAGAAGCGAAGAAAAAAAAATCAATTAATGATGTGTAATTAGAAAAGGTAGAGAGAAGGACAATTAGATGGAAAAAAATATTAACCATTAATACAGAGAAAAATCCATCCATATGATTGAGTACGATTAATGTAGTAATCTTCGGAATTAAATGTTATACTAGATTCTTTGTCTATTCCATATTCATCAAAAGTTTGATTAAGTGATAAATATACAGGTTCAGAAGGGGTTGTATAAGTGTAAGGAGTATTCAAAATTGAGTCCATGACAAACAAAGGGGGAACTCGAAGTATCAAATCCAAAACTGATACAAAACGACTTCTAGTTGTGTATCCAGTGTTCATCTTGATTGTATGTGTGATTGGCCTGCGACCAATAAACGACAAGAGAAGCAAGTAAAATCACCCAATTAACCAGAAAATCATGGATTATTGTAATTAGTTGCAACACACTAAATGAAGAATGAGATCTGTAGAGTTGAAAAGAGAAATGAAAAGAGAGGAAAAAAAAAGATTAACTTATTTGACAAATATAATTAGATAATTAGAGAGATAATAATGTTATTTTTGAATATCTAACATTTTCTTATGGAAATTTTTACTTTTATGAGATTCTGACGAAATACTAAGTTAATGAGATAAAGGGGGAAAGACGTAATTAACTGATCATTGAAAGGAGGGCCAAAACCGTTGAGATAATATGACAAGTCCTTCACTAGACCTGTTCCACTTGTGATAATATCGCCACGATCCAAATAAGATTGAGTAACACTTTCAACACTTTAAGAATTACTGATAAAACAGCAATTCTAACAAATGATTGAATCAACTTGACCTCAGAAACACAAGGAAATTAAGCCAGAAAAGAAAGTGAACAATCATTCGTTAAAGAGAATGAGAGAAGAAAAAAAAAGGAGAGAACAAAAATCGACGGTTGTGGTTAATTTACCTTTTAACTATTGAGGCTATTTTTTATATAGAATTTCAGTTGAAAAACTGATTCACTTAATTGATCCAAGAGATTGATTATCCGATGGGAAATAAAATTCAAAGATAATACAGATAATCACACTAAAGAAATCACAATTTACTTGGTAAATGAAAGCAGCTGTAGACAAGAAAAATCAATATTCTTTTAAAGGGTTTGATTAACTTGATCTCTACTAATGTGAAGGCTCAAGGAATTCAGAATACTGATCAATTACAAGATGAATTGATTATTAGATGACTATGATTGTGAGAAAAAATAAAAATAAATTCACTTTAATTAATTAATCACAAGAGTTAATCATAGTGAAGGGAAAGAGAAATGAAAACAAATTCGGCTTGCAGCTCTTGAGTCGAACTAGAAAAGATCAGCTCAATGTTCTTGTTTTCAGCTGATGGAATTTCTGGTAAGGCTCAAGATAAGTCCGTAAGCTCAACTTTTCTACTTTCAGCTGACGTTTTTTCGGCTTACGATTCGCGGCTTTTTAGGAAAATGATTTAATTTAATTGATTAGTCGATTAATTCAGCAATCTAAGATTATTTGACGCCTTGTGGGTATAGCGGGTACATGTTAGTCCACATTTAACAATGAAATAAAAGTGATTAGCGAAAGATGTGGCTAATCAGCTGTCGACAGCTAACATTACATTAATTGTGTGATAGTTTGATTGTCTCAGGCCCTCCGGGCCTTCCTTTGTCCATGGTGACCCTTAATAGTGAAAACCTAACCTAACCTAATTTAAACAAACACAATTAATTGAGAAATTCAGTTAACTTCCATATGTAGCTGTAATCGTAAGCCGAAAAAACGTCAGCTGAAAGTAGAAAAGTTGAGCTTACGGACATACAGTCAGACCTCTCATATTTTAACAAAATCGCTCCATCTATTGGATTTTAGGTTTGTCCTCAATCTTTTTCCATTGGAAATTAAATAACACATATTCTCAATAATTTTAGCCAATCAAATCTCTTCATAGACTAGTGACATCTACTGGATTTACCTACCCGTTTTGTTAAAATATGAGACACATGTACATTAATAACTGAACATTTATAACTGAACATGAATAACTGAACATTAACAAATGAAAATTATTGTTTATGAGTATACAAAGAACGAAAAGAAAAGAAAAAATTAATTAATAGCAACGGAAACAATACAAAAATTACATATATAATATGTTTATATTTACTCTATACGGTCAACAACCATGACCGTTCGAAGGCACCACAAGAGGGCGCTTAGTCATGAAGACGACCGTTAGGGTCTGAAAAACTAAATATGAGAGGTCTGACTGTATCTTGAGCCTTACCCAATTATTTACCTTTTACCTGATACAATGAGTGAGAACTTTGTCAAATCTGTTTACGTTAAAACAAATGATCAAATGTTGGTCGTTTATTTAGCATCTTTGGTTCGATCGGTTATCGCCTTAAATGAAAAAAAAAACACGAAAACATAAAACAGAATCAACTACAACCACAAAAGAAGAGGATAAACCAACAAAGGAAATTAAGTGTTAAATTAATTTCAATTAGTTAACTCTGATCATTTGATTAGCAATTTTCTCAACCAAATTTTAACAAATTGATATGTTTGTGAATATGTGACATAATCAATTGAGATAAATTTCCAACTTGCGGATATAACACTAATTGTTTGCATTGGAAGAGGTGAAATTAATTTTTCCAATGTGAATTTTTCTTACTAATTCGTTAACAGTAACAATTGAGAATTAACTTATTTGCCCAACAATTAGTTAGCTCCATTCAAAGAACAGTAAAAAAAGTTTTCTCTCTCTCTCCAAATCTAAGTGGTTGATTATCATCTTAATGATAAATTTTAGATTTAACAATCAATTGAATACTCGAAAATAATCAAGAATGATAAATGTGAAAAAAAGATAAAACTCTCACATTAATTGAATAGAACTTTTTTTTTGATTATCTGCGAATCAAGTCTCGCCATTCTGTACAATTAACTAATTGATTGTCATTCAGATATTTTCACTCTAATGTTACTGAACTGATGGTTATAAGTTTCCCAGAGAAAAAGTTTCTCCAACTAATTTAGTTAATCAATCGTAAATTCAATGGATCCATCGGTCGCTGATGTCGCTTACCTGGGAATCATTGATTACCTTGTTCTTGGTGCTCTATTTATATTTTCCCTTTTAATTGGTGTTTTTTTCGCATGGAAGGACCGGAACAAGGACACTGATGAATTTCTCATGGGTGGACGAAACTTATCCCCATTTCCGGTCATGTTATCGTTAATCGCTTCCTTCCTCTCATCGATAACGGTCCTTGGTTGGCCTGCCGAAGTTTATTACAAAGGTTCACAACTATGGATAACTTTGCTATCTTGTTATACTGAAATTTTCTTGACCAGTGAGATAATTTTACCGATATTTTATAAGCTCAATCTGACCAGTGTTAATCGGGTGAGTCGTTAATCTTAATCCTAATCTGACATTTTGTTTTCACTTCCTACTTATTTGTTACAATAATCAATTGTCTATGTTTGAGATAATTTCAAATATCTTAATCATGATATTATAACTTTTGCCAATCAAATCTTCAAGTTTCTCTGTTGATTGTTGACTGGACAACAATTTAATCTAAAAACAACTAAATTGATTATTTTTTTCATTCGTTCATCTTAAAATATTGGTATTAGTATTTATCGGAGCGATTTGGATCACCAGCATTAAGGATAATTGTTTCAATCATCAGCTGTATTGCGACTGTAAGTAATTAACCATTTATATGAATGAACAATTTAAGTTTATTGCGAGTTTTAATTGTTTAATTTAAAGTTCCCATGGCTTGGTGTTGTCTTGTATGGACCATCACTTGCCCTCGGGGCTGTTACCGGTCTCTCAGTTACTGCAAGTATCTTATTATGTGGAATCATATGCACGATTTATACAAGTTTGGGTGGCCTTAAGGCCGTTATTTGGACGGATGTACTTCAATATATCCTAATGGTTTTGGGTATCGTTGTGGTTATAATCAAGGTGAGAATCAATTAAAATCTTAAGAGATTAAATCATCTCTGATTGCCTGAGATTTTTAAAAGGTTACATTTTATACATTAATTGTTGTCAATACATTGAGATTAACGATGAGATTTTTTTCCTTCATTTGATTAAGACAATTATCTAATTGTCAAGCAAGTCCATAGTTAACTGACTTGATGTCAGCAAGTAATTGAGATAATCTGATTGATCAATGCTGTAATCAAGTGCAATCAGTTAATTGGTGTTTCATTTAATTTGCGGAATATTTTTAACACTCGATAAGATAATCATGATTGATTAGACAATTTAACTTATGTATTAATAATTTCAAGGGGACAATCGATGTCGGTGGAGTGTCAGAAGTTTGGAGAAAAGCCGATCTTGGTGGACGATTACGATTATTTGAGTAAGTTCAATTTCTCACAGAATTTTTCTTATATTTTCCTTTACTGTATAATCGCCTTAACTAAATTTAATCCAGTTCCAAGATTGATTTTCACAATTCACATAATCAATGGGTTGTTCTGGTTGGTACAACATTAGTTTGGACTGCTGGCCTTTCGACAAGTCAAACTTTACTCCAACGGACTTTGAGTATGCCAACATTGAAAAAGGCTAAAATGTAATGATAATTAGAAAATTTTCTCTTCTATTAAATTAATTGTTATCCATTTTATTTCTATTTCAAGGGTCGTTTATTTGGCTTTACCTGGTTTCCAATCGATGCAAATTCTTGTGACAACTTTGGGTCTTGTGGCTTTTGCTTATTATTACGATTGTGATCCACTTCGTACAAACAAAATTCAAGCTTCAGATCAGTTGATTCCCTATTTTGTGGCCGATCTATTCTCATCACGATATCCTGGTATTCCAGGTCTTTTTGTGGCCTGTGTTTTCAGTTCAACCCTATCAACATTGTCTTCGGCTTTTAATGCGATCGCTGCAATCATATGGGACGATTGGTTACAAAGTTGCTTCCCAAAGGCTTCATCAACAACCCAGGTCATGATAACCAAGATAATTGCCGCTCTTTCGGGTATATTGTGTATTGGTGTCGCTTTCGTGGCAAGTCAAGCGGGTACACTTTTCGAGGCCTCATATTCCCTAAGTGGATCACCATTGGGACCTGCGTTCGCTGTTTTCATCCTTGGTATCTTTACAACCTTTTGCAATGGACCTGGAATGATAATCGGCTACATAATTGGTCAGATCAGTTGTGTCTGGATTGTAATCGGCGGTCTTATCATTAAACGTCCTCACCTTGTATTAGAAGTTACAACTGAAGGTTGTCCAGCCAATATGACAATAGATAATCCTGGTTTACCATTATCGCAACTTCATGATTACATTATTCCTGAATATGTACCTGAAGGATTATCAAAAATTTACCATGTTTCTCATTTCATTATACCAACAATTGGTTTTCTCATTACATTGGTAACTGGAATCATTTTTAGTCTACTTACTGGTTCTAATAAAGGGAAATGTGTTAATCGTGATCTGGTATTACCTTGTCTTTGGAAATATTGTTGTCCATTAACTGACCATCGAAAGTGTAACCAATCGAATAAAAAGAGACAATCAATGACCAATCGAAAAGTGAGCGAAAAAATGACCGAATGTATCCCATTGAAATCCTGAGATTTTCACTGATTCTATCAATTGTATCATCTTTAAATATGTATTAACCAATTTCTTAATACCACAATAATTAACCTTTCGAATATCAAATGTCCAATTCATTATAAATATCGAATCTTTTCATTTAACGATCCAAATGTCCAGAGTAGTTTATATATGGATTATCTCTCATCGAACGTGTTTTCGAACGATAATAAGCAAAATCAAGATCTAAAGTTCGAAAGTATTCATCAGTCTCATCTCTCTCATCTTTGGATAATTATCTACAATCAATTTTAAAAAAAGAAATACTAATTAACTGTGGGATTAGAAATTAAAAAGACCAACAAAAAAATGGGTAAGACGATACAAGTGTTTGTCAGCTCAACATTTTCGGAAGACCCAAAGGGCCTGAGACAATCAAACTGAAGTTCGGTTACCGAACCTCTAAGCCGAAAAAAAATTTAGCTGAAAATCGAAACTCGAAATAACCAAAAAATCAAAAGAAAAGAGAACAACCAAAGCGCCACCGCTTAGAGCCAAAAGTAACTAATCGAATTCTAAATTCAAAAAATTCTCATTTTTTGTTTATCATTTTGTTAATTGTTTTTAATTGTGATTAGATTAATTGTAATGTTTTCTCATTACATGTAGTTTGTGTGTTAGAATAAGAGATCAGAAAATCGATAAATTTCTTGTGATTGGAAACAATTGAATTTCTGTTGACCATCAACAAAGGAAATTAACTTATGAAAATGATCAATTTTTAGAATAAACAAAATTAATTCTGATCAAAATGAGAATTAACATCAATTAACCAAAGACCATCCGGATATTAATTGTGGATCAAATTTAAATAGATTGTGACACTTACACACTGGAAATTAATTTCCAACCAGCGGATGTAAAAACTAATTGTTTGGGTAAATTAATTGTTCCTCTGGATTTTTTTTTATAAATATTCTTTTCTCTTCACTTTTAATAGAACAAATTAACACACTTGATTACTCAATAGTTAGTTTCCTTCATCATCAAGAACAAGAAAAAGAACAAAAAGAGAATAGAAAAAGACAGAAGATAAAAAAAAGAAAGAAGAAAAAAAATCTCACTTTCTTTATCTTCTCTTTCGAAAATCTTTTTTTTCTATTCTATTTAACAAGAAACAGTTTCTCTCTCCTTCTCTTTGTGTAACAACAAATTATTCACTTTTTGACAATCATGGTTTGTTTTTCTTTCTCTAGTTAACATTTTTCTCTCTTCTTTTCCTATCTGTTGATTGTGACCATTTATTAGGATTACTAATTATGTCCATCAATCAGTTGTCATCATCTTAATCATCAGTGATTATGTTTTATTGATTATCATCATTTAATCAACACTAACCAGTGAACATTTTATATTCTCATTTGCCTGATCAATTTCTTTCCTTTGTTTTCATGCTGAACTTTTCTTCATCTCTTTTCTTCTTTGTGTATCTACCTCATTGGCTTTAATCACCTTCATCTTCATCACCACCAGAAAATTTACCAAGTGAATGTTATTTTATTTCCGTTGGAGAAAAAAAGACAAACAATCAAAAAAAAACCTTAAAATCGATTTAAAAAAATCATCAATCCATTCGTGAGCTTTTTTGTTCTCTCTCGATTAAATCATGGTCAACATACCCCCAGTTCTAGAAGTAACCGATAATCTGACCATCACAAGTAATCAAGAATCATCATCAACTGTTGCTGTCGATGGTAAGAACAAAGCAACAATCAAATCAGATGAAAATAGTTTAGATTGTGACTCTGGTGTTGTCATTAACAATATTATCATTGGTGATGGTCAACAAATATCTTCATTTCCTATTACCAGCCCACCTCATCTCAATCTACCTGCTACCTCTTTCTGGACACCAGGTTTATCTCCCGTTGATGATGATATAGTTAATTATGGTTCTTGTGATATGAATAATTCAGTCAACAGAGATGAAGTTGATCAAATTAAGCAAACATTTCTTAATGGAGGTTCCAATGTAAGTTGTCATTCTGATTGATTTTTTTTTCCTCATTCATGATTACTTCTGATCAAACGGGTTCTAATCACATGAATAAATTATTTTCCTCCCACAGAAACTCAACAAAGATATTGAATCTTTATGTACTGGTCAAAGTAATTACTATCCTGTTGATAGAAATAATTCCAAAATTAGGTAATGAAAACACAAAATTTCCTCTAGAACTTTTTTTTCATTCTTCTAATCTTAATTATAATCTCAAATTTCTGTTTATATCCACAATTTAGATGGTGGAAACACCCTAAATTCAAGGAAAATTGGAAAATATTTTTCGCTGCCTTTGGTCTTCTTGTTGTTGGTATTGGACTTATTACCATGGGGATTGTGGTCAGTGTGCTACCTGATGTCGATTTTCAAAGTTACGTTTTCTTCATCGCTGGGACCATTTGCTTCATTCCTGGAGGTAATCATCATCTTCACCCCAACTACCTGATTTTAACAATAAGACTAACATGATTAACATAACATGTGATCACTTACAATTAACCATCAATCAAGGAAATTGATACATTATTAGATTATCAATGATTCACATTGATAATTCAAGACTATGATTGATAATTTGAGGTTGTATCAGTTGATAAAACCTTTTAGCTATCAATACATTATTTACACAGTGTATAGTTATTTATAATGTACCTGTAAATTATAATAATAGTGTTAATTTATTAATTATTTAGATCGCAAATCAATATCCAATGATATATTTTTTTTATAGATCTCATAGATTTAAGATATCAAGTTAATCAATTCAGGGGAAAATGGTTATAACAATCATATTCATATGATTGATTTGATTGATCATCTTGAAGAAATCAAAGTTATCTACTTGATTACAGTTATGATTGTTATCAAATCATATTGTTGTTGTTATTGTAACTATTAATTTGTTTATGATTATTTACTCTTGTGATGAATTAGGTTTACACATACAGATATTAGTTAAAAGCAATTGATTTAATCACCAAGTTACCATTTAGTCAATTTTTAGCAATCTTTTTTAGTAAATGTGATTAAAATTATCAGTATTGTAACAATTGTAATGAATTGAAAGCAATTAATCAGGGTAAATGATCATGAACTCACATGACACAAGTTCAATGATGTTGATTGAATATTTCTAATTATATATTAATGATTAGCAACCAAATCAGTTAAATGTAAATGCAAACTATGTTTACTTGTTTACTTTAAATCATCATTGATTGATGTAACTTTTTTATTTTTCCTGCTTCTTTCACCAAACAATCAATTTCCCATTTAACAGTCTCAGTTGATTTGATTGAAAATCAAATATTTATCAACAATCAAATGTTTACAATCTGAATGGTTCATGATGATAGGATGAAATGAAGGAAAAGATTTAACCGATTAAATTTTAATATAACAATTAAGTAAACACACAATTAATTTTATCATCAAATTAATTAACACATTAATTAATACTCAATCAATTCTCATCAAAATTTATTGATTTTATGCTTTAAATTGTCAATTGTTTTTCTTGATCATTAGCTAATTACCTTTAGTCTTTAATTGTTGGCAATAAAAAAAAACTTCCTGTCGGTTCAAAGTTTTGCTATGAAAACTTTATTACCACAATTGTTGTTTATCAAAATAAGTTAATTGTTATCACACAATAATAATAACAATTAACTTAAATATGGTAAAACTCAAAACTCGAACTCGGATTTTCCCTTCCGAAACAATTCACTAATCCTTTACAATTTAAAACCTTCTCTACTATTAAGTCTTAAGTTATTTGCCACTCATGCAATTTAAATATTTTTTTTCGTATATAAAATGTTTACCATCATCAACCTATGCCAATTAACTAATTAGCTAACAAATAATTGTCCCAACAATCATTTGATGTTTGTCTTTTTAATAAGTTCACTGATTAGTTTTTAATTTTTTGAACTAAATTGCAATTTCTATGACTTATCAATACAAAATACTGATAGAAAATAACAATTTACCTTCGATATGATTAGTAATTAGTTGTCGTATAAATAGTAATTAGATTACATCAATTGATTACAAGCAACCTAAATTAATGAATAATAATATCAAATTGTTGAGTTAAATTGCCAAGTTTTGTCTCTCTCTCTCTCCCAACCACTAATCTCAATACTCTGGTTGGATTTTTCAACAATTATTTCAAGGACTAATTATAATTTACTAGGCCAATTGAAGCAAACTAACAGTTTCAACAATCTTAATTCACTTTGATTACAATTTTCTTGGATCATATTCAATTGTTGGATGTCATCTTCTTCCTCATTTTGATACATTATAAAATTAAATATAATCAACTTTTCCCACCGTCTAACAATTTAATAAAAACATTTTCACCCTAAATTCTAAACAATTTACTAATTATGCTGCATTTTCTTTCTATTTCTAGCTTACCACGTTGTCTATTTGTATTTTGCATTAAGTGGACGAAAAGGATACGATTTCCACCAATTGCCTTTATTTAATTGATAACAATTAAGATGATACACCTTGAAGATATATACAACCTCATGTGCCATTAATTGGATAAATCAACTCTTTCTTCCCAAAGATACACCTAAAGAAAGAGACAATTACTTGATTACTTATACATATATTTTTAATTAGTTAATCATCTTAATTGTTGACATCTTAAGCACGACGAAAACCTTTAACATCGCAAAACTAATTAGACCAATGTTGAAGAATCGAAAACTTTTTATTCACCTCAATCACAATCAAATCAACTTTCATCATTCTCACTTTCTTTTATTCAAACCTTTCTCCATCTCTTTCCAAGCAAATAAGATTAATTGTTGATAGTTGATAGCAGAAAAATTGATCTTGTAGTTGAAAACAATTTATTTTAATTGCTTATGCTCATGTTTATTTAATAATTGGTTGTAAACTCTTTTACCTTTCATCTTTTTTATACTGAACAAAATATCAACTTATCAACTTTGTTTCATTTTAACATTTTCCCCACCATCATGATGAAGATTACACACAATCAACCCTTGATTTTACAATCATCTTAATCACCAAATCAAATAACCAACATTGTGATCACACCGACATCACCCATAGACTTTGTATTCACCATGTTATATATTTACTACACATGAAAATCCCTGAACTTGTCAAAGAATGAATCTCATCATCATCTTTTTTTGCTCTTTCTAATCTAATCTTGTTTTCACTTTTCTTTTTGTTGTAACATTGTAATTCAACAGTCTCTTGTATCCATCATTTAATTGTATCTTTTATCATCATCATCACATGTAGTCCACACCCAAGGAAGATGAAGACAAGAAGGAGGAGGAGACAAAAAGTTATTCTCACCCAAACATTTGAATTGCTCGGAACATTTCATTCATTAATCTAATCAATGGCTAAGATGATTTTTTTTTGGAAACAATTGAATGAACAAGATGATTTTCAATGTTAAATCAATTTGATTATAATAAGTGAACCGAAACGATAATGATGATTATATGATAAACTATTGTGATGTAAAAGTTTCACTGAATTAAGATGAGAGAGAGGACCGGAAGGGAGGAGTATTTATTGTGATTAATATTTAATCATCAAATTTTGTTAATCATGATGATTTAATGTCTCTCTCTCTCTCTCCTTTTAATTCATTTAATTTGTCATTGAATTTACTCTCTCTTATTATCAAGTTAAAGGGAAACAATTTGATCTTTTTTTTTAATTCTTCTCTTAATTGTATCTCATTACCATGATTGTAAAGGTCAGTTCAATTACGATTAACTAACTAAATTTTAAACTTGTTAACCAATTAAAATAATCAACAAATTATATGTTGATTACTTTAAGTGGATAAACTTGTCCTAATCAAAAAGATAGTTATTAATTGAGAATTAATTAACTTGATTATAACCCGAGAAACAATTTATGGAATCCTTTTAAATGGTTAATTTAAATTGTTCATCTCATGTGTTAACAAGTTAATTTAGTTCAAGATAATCAAAGTTAATCAAACTTAATCCTTTCATATTTCAAGTGTATTTACTCATAAACGGAATCATTACACTTAACTAATTAAGCTCAAAGTTCAACGAGCTTATTCAGATAACAATTAAGATTAAATTTCCAATAACAATGAATTTTAATCACTGAATTACTAATCAATTGATTTCCTTTAATTAGAACTTCTAATTAAGTGTTTTATATACAGCGACATCTTGATGAGAAAAAGTAAACGAGCGATCTTTTAGAAATTTTTTTTCTTGTTAATTGTTAACAATTAAATCAAAAACTATAGAAAGATAATGAATTGAATCAGTTGATTTGTTTATGTTGAGGTTTTATTACTTTTAATCATTACGTTTTGTTTTTTTTGTACTTGTTGATTAAATATTATCAGAGCGATTGATCAAACTAAATGATTAACTTTGTAGTAATTAAATTGATTTACCATCAATGTAATTACTATTATTTGAACAGGTTAATTGCTGACAATTAAATGATTTAGTTTTGTTTGAATTTTTTTTCGTGCTGTTGAACCAATTAATTATCGGATGGATTTTAATTGTTGAAGGATTGAAAAACTAACTGATTGATTTTTGCATCAATGTCAACTGTTGATACTTGTACTGAATGGTGATTAACAATTTGATGATTGAAACAATTAACCTTGATTATTAACTCTGTTTCTTGTTCGTCTTTGATTGTTATTAGTTAAAGTGTAACGATCTTTACTTTCATGAGATTCCGGATTAACTGATTGCTGTAAACCACCATTGGGATTGTTTGAAGGTTTAACTATTTGTCGGCGGCGGGAAAAGTTTCCACCATTTTCCAGAGCTGATGGAATGAACCGAGAAAACAGTCCAGTACCAAAAAGACCACTGCCTCTAAACCCGCCAGCGGGTTGTTCCTCAATTTCCACAACAACAAGTCCATTTGGACGGACATAACGTCGACGGACAACCCGCCTTGAAGCGGACGAAGACAAAGTCGCCGTTGAACCGAATCGATTGAACAATACTGGCCCATTGGGATCCTCAAGTATTCCAGGGTCAGGATAATCTGGTCCACCACCGCCTGGAATACCACCGCCACCAGGAATAAGCGGTGGTCCACAAAGACAACACTCTGAACATGGACAACAACCACCACCACCTCCCATCCCACCGGTGAACAAACTAAATCCTTTATTGAAAATGGACTGCTTAAGGTAAGGCTTAGTTCTGGCTTGTAAAGAATCAGAATCCTCTGGAGATGAAGATGAAGATGTTTGTCTATCTGATTGTTGACTTAAAGTGTCATTAAAAGATGAAGACAATGAATGAATTAAACATAAAACCAAAGGAACAATAAAAGTTAACTTGTAGTAATACATATTGATTAACATGGAAAAGTTTTCTTTAACTGAATATAATCATCATGTTCACCATAAGTAATCATTTCAAATGAATTGTCACCCAAGTGTCAGGGTAAAGATAACACTCTGATTATCATAAAAATGACAATTTAGGAAAAAAAAAATTTTGTTCAACCTTTTGTCCTGAACTGAAAAACACCAACATTAACTTTTCTCCCATGATATTAGCATCATTAGAACCTCAATTAAGGTCTAACACGTGTAATTGAACGGATAATAAACTAATTAATATTCGGAGTGGATTATAACTGTCAAATTGTCACCAATTGTGATCCATCAGTAATTGTTACCAATCCATTTCTCTTTGTATCAATTTCCTCTTGTGGTGAACCATAATAATAGAAGACAATTTCCTGGATAAAAAAAGAAGAGAAAAGAATTACAATTATAATTAATCATCGAATAATAGAATTACCATATATATTTGTAATCGAAAGTAATTACAAGCTAATTAAATCATTGATCGTTACAATCAACTAACCTGATTAACACGAGATCATTTGGTAATCACATTCAACTGAACTTTATTTATCTCTCACTTTCTTTCACTAAATCAATTCTCATTTAAAGTAAACAATTAACTTTCCAAATTAACTGAGATAATTTTCTCTTCTTTTCTCAACTTTTAATTAAATCATTTAATCGTTAATTGTCTTAAATTAATTGTGAATAAAAAAATTCATCCATCATTAGTTACTTGTTTATCCAATAGATGGCGCAGGTTAACTGATTAACTTTCGAGTTGAAAATGAATCAAAGTTAATTCAATTGTAATAGAAAAGTAATCAAGATAATGGTTAGATAATTAAGATAATAATCATAAAGGGAATTAATGAAATCTTAAAGATGAAAACAAAGCTAATCAAGAGAAAAGTATTAGATGATTATTATGGTAATTAAAGTGAATGAAATAAAAGTATTTGTAACAATTTGTTTCTCTACAATTGTAACTTCAATAGATTTCTGTTAATTGTAATCAAATTTAATTTCTCATTAATTTAATTAACTATAACAATCAAAGTGAATATTGATTAGATAGTTGGATATGTTGGTATCTGGAAAAATTATCATCGTTATTATTATTGTCACAACGAAACAATGTAACCAGGAAAATAAGTCCAAGCAATTAAATTAATCATTAATCACTTTAATGTGAATAATTTATTTACAGTTTATTATGGTGAAAGTGAAGCAAATTAAATAAATTATCATTTAATGAAAATTTTCAGGAGGGGGGAAATGCTCACAATTAATCATTGGATAAATTGTTAACCACCATCAGAACAACAATTAGATTGATTAATATGATGACAGTTAAAGGAACCAGAAAAAAAAGTTGTTACCTTTTTTGATTCATTGATTAATCAAATTGTCTACAATTGAATTGACTATATTTATATAAACAATTGATTTAAGTTTATCTATCAATAGTGAATCAATATTGATTGTCAATCATTAAATTAATTCAGTTAATCAGTCGCATTGATAATGTAAATTCAATAATATCTCAAGTTAATTTGTCACGTTGAAAGTTTAATAATAACAAATGCAAATGTAAGTTAAATTGTTACTTCAACTATCATCATTAAGGAGCATCAACCTCATCCATTTAATTTGATCCTTTCAAATTTATCACAAACTTCCGGTCACTGTTAATGTCCAAGTAGCTTTCTGTGTTAACCGGAAAAAGAAAACTTGATTCATGATTATTATCATGATCAACAGAAATCAATGATTTGATTACAAATGACCAGTAAAGTTAGTTGGATAAAACAAATTGTCCACTTTCAAGTGATTTAAACATTGACCAGAAAGGATTGAGTATATTTGATGATGATGATGATCTCATCATCATGTTAACTAAGTCAAATAATATAAACTTCATGATACTTGAATATCTGAGTATTTGAATCAAGATTGATTCAGATAATGATTTTGAAATTTTCCAAAAATTTTCAACTTCCTATCGGCCAAACTTATCAATACCATCATCATGATCATCATTATTAACCAGAACCATTCAGATGATCATCATCATCTTTAACATCTTCACCATGACGGTGAAAAATTCTGAATGGTAATTCATGAGAAAATTGTGAGAAGAAAAAAAAATAGAATAGAAAAATCTTCCAAATTTACTCAAAGACCTTTTAACTTAGTCTATGTGTAGTATTATCATCGCAGGATTTATGGTTTAACACTTTACTTTTGCAAAGATGATGAGGATGAAGATGATGATGATCATAATCATGAAGATTCTGATTCCATTGTAATAATAATAATGGATCAGAAGTGAAAGTTTTTGAAAAAATGTGTTGAACTTTTTTTTCCTCATTCGTTTGTTATCCTTTTTTTGTGCCAATGGATCAATTTGATATCTATTATTTGTAACGAGGAGGAAAAGTTCAATCTTGATGATGAATAACATAAAGTGAACAATTGTCATGATCATAATCTTCATACGAATATAATAATAATCAAGTGAACATTCAATATTGGCCAAAGTTCTGGTTGAAATTCTGGTTCACGGTAGAATTGAATGTAAAAGGTGGAAAAATGAGAGAGATGGAGAGAGAGAGAGAGAGAAGTTCTTTCCAATATTTACTCTTGATTCCAATTTACTATTCAGACATTGATGATAATATCCCATGACTTTGATTCCCTCAAATTCAATCATCATCATCATAATCACCACTACGATTGTTGTAATCATCGTCATTATCAATTGGTTATAATTTTCATGGTAAATGCTTGAAATTTATGGTTGGGGAGGAAAAAGTTCCAATTTTTTTTCTCTCATTCCTTCATTATCTCAATCTCAGATTCACAGGATCCCCTAACATGATATCATTATGAGTAATGGATATAATTTTCATCTAACTCATAAGAATCATTATCTTCAGAATTCAATCAGAACAAATTTTATCAGAACTGTTGGCAAATATCTTGCATGGTAACAACTCGTCTCTTAACCAGAGACGAGCTAAAAATAAAGATGAAGATGAAGATGAAGATGAAGATGAAGATGAAGATGAAGATGAAGATGAAGATGAAGATTATAATTACTTATAATAGAAAGAAAAACAAAATGTATCAGTCAGTTGGGATGAATTTCCCCTTCTCTTCGAGTTCAAATGAATAAAATGAATAAAGTGCTAATTAAACTACTAAAGTAAAAGTGAAGGTTAATAAAGTGAAACAATATTACTTCAAATGGTCCGTCGAGCCGGATACGGTGAAATTTACTTGAATTTGTGAAAAGTTTATCTTCTCCCTTATCAATTGAAATTGTGAAAATTGTTATACTTTTTTCTAGTTAACTTAAATTTCGAAATTGGTTACATTTTGATGTTAGTTTTCTAATATTACATCGAAGCTTAATCATCTCATCAATAACCATATACTCAATACAATAAATCTTTAAAAGTTATAAAAGTTATATCAAATTCGAGCTAATAATCATCTAAATGAACTCAAAATGAACATAATTCTGAATCAGTTCGACAATCTGAAAAAAGGATAAGTAAAATGATTTCCATAAGTGACAAACTCGCATCAATTATTACCTGATACATATTAAGTTCAAGTGTGAAATGTGCAATTGATTAGATCACATCTTATCCAGTGAATTGTTTATAATTAATTTGCTTAAAAAAAATATCAAAATCTCTTTTCTCTTTTTGAAGATAAAATTCACTGACATCTTAAATTAAAGAATTCAAACCAAGCAATTTGATATTATCTCTGCAATACTAATAATCTCTTATTATAATTATCCAAATAATTAACAATAATTCACCTTGATCAAACTAAATAACAATAATCAATACAAATTATATTCGTAAAGTTATACAATGAATACAAATATGAATTTCTTCACCTAATGTTTATCAATTAATGTTTTATTTTCGAAGTAATTATCAAATTCTCCATCATATTGCCTTTAACCATTATCGATTGAGAGACAATAGCAAAAGGAACTCCCAAATACACTCACAAACTTCAGATAATATAAAAAAATTATACAAGATTTTTAACTCAACAAAGTCAAATATAAACAAATATAAACAAATGCTCTCCTAAATTTCTCTCTCTCTTATTTTCTCTCTCTCTTATTTTCTCTCTCTCTTATCTTCTCTCTCTCTTATTTTCTCTCTCTCTTATTTTCTCTCTCTCTTATTTTCTCTCTCTCTTATCTTCTCTCTCTCTTATTTTCTCTCTCTTTTCTCTCTCTATTTTCTCTCTCTCTTATTTTCTCTCTCTCTTATTTTCTCTCTCTCTTATTTTCTCTCTCTCTTATTTTCTCTCTCTCTTATTTTCTCTCTCTCTTATTTTCTCTCTCTCTTATTTTCTCTCTCTCTTATTTTCTCTTTTTCTTTCTTTCTTGTGTATATCTCATCTCTCTTCCCATTTTCATTTCTGTGAAGAAACTCCTAACTTTATCAGTATAACCATAATTGGTTACCGATAAATTTAGAACATTCGTTATATCCATTATTTGCGTAAACATCTTGAAAACCAATTTACTGCCAATTGGCAATGCGAGTCATTTTATTCAAACTACTGCAAGTAACCTCCGATGGGAAATTTTAATCTAATCGGTTCGTTACTGTGGCAAGTTAAAATTAGATAGATAAATTTTGGTTTTCATCCAATGACTATAAAGTAAATATAACTATAACCCTAAATGTTATCATCGAAACAATCCGATCAATTTACTAGTATGAATTACCCTATTCATATCCCATACTTTACTGGAGAAAATAATGATGATGTTATCAAATGGTTCGATGAATTGGAGATAACTGCAAGGAACAATGGATGGACTTCAGATCAAATGTTCATAATCGTTCCAACCTTATTGAGAGGTACAGCACGGAGGTGTTTCAACTTTATCAATGGTAAATTTACTCCTGAAGATGAACGACCAAAAAACTACAATAGTTTAAAAGAATCAATTATACGAGATTTATGTCCATCTGATTTTCGTTCTCAATTATCTCAACAACTTCATAACGCTACTCAACAACCAGGTCAATCAGCGTCGTCATTTATTTATGAAATTTATGAACTATGTCAACGAATAGATGAAAATATACCGGAGATGATTATACTGAGCATCATTAAGGAAAAGTTACTTCCACAAATCAAATATGGAATCGCCTTGCAAAACCCACAATCTCTACAACAACTATTAGAATCAGCAAGATTAGCTGAAAGAGCTATGCTCTCATGCAACAATCCATTCGTTATGCAAAAGGAAAATTTTAATCCTAGCATGAACGACATGGTAGTGAACCTTCAAAAGTCTATTGCACGATTATCAGCAAAATTTGAGAACTTATCTACTAATCAAGCTTGTACCTATTGCAAAAGAGCAGGCCATACCGAATCGAATTGTCGCCGTAAACTACGATCTTCATTAAGGCTTGATACTATTTCCTCCAGTTATCCAGCAACAGCATATCAACCCTACACATTGTCCGCTCATGACGATCGCCATTATACTCGACACACAAATGATCAACCATATGAAAGAGATTATTACGATGATGACCATTACATGGTCGACCCATCAACTCAGACTAAACATTCGCTCCCACGGAGTGGAAGAAGCAGAACCCCGGAGACAAAGAATGATAATAATGACAAAAGTAAATCGATTCATCAATCAAAACAATCACCCACCCCAAATAGAAAATCAAAAGAGGTAAAAATGGTAATCCAAACTTCTGATCCTAGTGATACGGACGATAATGGAAATTTCGCTGAAAATAATACTATATTTAGTTTTGCGATCATGATTGATGACTCATCAGATGAAAATTTAATCCACAATGATGATCCATCTGATACTGAAAATATAAAACATGACAATTTTCTCGTCTACTCAATCAACACAAATGCTCAACCTTCAATCGAACAACCACCTGATCGACAAAAAGAATCTGAAAATAAAACACAAAAGCTGGTCAATGAATCTAATTTTCTTAAACCTCAAATCAGATCGGACAAGAAGCGAGAAGAACGACCAGAAGTGAGGGAAAAACAGCCTCAAAATCGACTAATGAATCAGCAAACGATTTACATCATCATGATGCTTATGATACAATTATTTCTTC